GAGCACATGGAAGCCTTGACCTATACAAGGCTCAGATAAGATGGGATCAAGCTATATTATCCAAGCTGTCAACCGCCTACCGGCATAGACCACCATCTACCTAGGCGCAGGGGTGCCATACGGCGACTGTCCCGGGCTTTGCTAGGCGATTGACTGATGTCATCCTCTCAATTATCATAGAGGCAAAGCTGAACCAACAGATGGCCAAAGCGGTTTGGACTTCTCGTCTGTTTGCTCTCCCCAACAAGCTGCCAGCGCTTAACCTCGGGTCTATCTGTGATTCCTGTCACTGCCGGGGGCCAAAGGGCGTCAAAAGCGCACCAAGCAATCAACGCGACAAGCACGATCCATGTCCATATGTCGCCTGACAATTTAGCTAGAACACCAAAGAACGTACCAGTTCCCCGCTGACCTGGAGAGGAAAACCCACATCAGCATTTTCGGGTCTCCGTGGATCGTCGCGAGGTAGGTAGTTTATTTGCAGTGATTCTAAAAAGGTATGTCAGAAGGTGATGAATCGCCTCTTGGCCCATGCTCCAAGCTTTGTTCGCATGACCATCGCTCTCCCCTGACACCGCCAGATCTCCCCTGACATTGGCCAACAATCTTCCCCAATGGGCAATCAATTGCCAGAGCCAGGCCGCCGGGGCCTCCAACCCAGAGCGCCAGATCAATGGGGCGACGTCCCGGACCCCAGGAGAGCTTGTCGTGGCTATCTCCCCGAATACCACGACTCAACTAACCGGGCCGGTCTCCTCATCCTGTCTTGATCCAGAGAATGGCTTGTGCTTGCTCGCCGAAGGTTCGTCTTGAGTCTACAATAGCCCGTGCCAACACATCCATTCTCCAGGAACCAGGTCACAAGCCAAACTCTAAGCGAAGCTTTTGGTTTCGCAAGATGCATAGAATTCAATTACACACGCCTCCACTAGAGGTCCCATTCCGCTACAGCGCAATTGGATGTAATGCGGTTGGCCCTCTTTCTTTATAACGCTGGTTTCGGGAGTCTTCCCACTAACGATGCCGCGCTGGCGGTGTACTATTATTTTTAGGGAAGGGCAATACGAATTAAGATGGAACCAGCAAGCTAAGGGAACCCAGTGTATTCGACTGAGCGGCGGTGTGATTGCGATGAGCGCTCACCAGAAGCTCGCCGGTGTCCCCGAAGTCTATCTCAAAGATAGATATTTTTACATATTCACATACAGCCATGGATGCCATTCCCCAAAGTCGGTCCGGTTAACCTGCTGCAGGTGCGCGGGCCGCGAAGAGGCGAACAGGTAGATGCGAGTACTTGCCAGGCAACAATCCCAAGGAGCCTGGTCCAAATGCGATTGGAGTTGGTCAGTGCATGTACCTGAAGTAGCTCGGATGTACTAGGTGGGTCTATAATCCCTGGCCGGCATATTCCCTGACTCAGAGTCACTGTCACAGCTCCAGCCTTCTCAAGGCTCGGTGCACGCTTCCCCTTGGGGACCCAAGTATCGACGGCCAAGCCAGACGACGGCCGAAGGGCCAGATGAGGATTACATATGATTCCATACGGGTGTGTAAGCCCAGTCCGGTATCGCTGCGAGGCAGTCACGGGGCGGCAGTTGCTCACGAGATGCATCAAGGCTGAGGCAAAGGTGGCAAGGGTCCTCTCCAAGGCTCCAAGGTCCGTTCCCCATCCTGCCATCCTGTGCGCCCCCACTGAAATGTTCTGGAAGGTCTTCCTTGGTGTTGCGCATTCGTTCCTCTATTCTCAGGCGGCTGTCCAATGAGAGGCGAGCGAAATACTGTCAGCCTGGAATTCGTCGGCCTCCATTCGGGCTCACGCCAGGCCAGCCACTCCAGATCCAAATTTTTAACTGGAGAAGGCCAGATCATCACGGAGGACGAATGAATGGAGTCTAGCACGGGGACATGACGTGGTTCTCCTGCCCCTCGGAGAATGATTTCGCACATCTTGCAGGAGGATGGGAGCTTGCTCCGGAACTACGCATCCGTGAACCTGCCATGTTCCGAATGATCCATCCAAGCTCTGGCCCGAGGCCTCGGCGTGCAGCTGACGGCTGCCATGCGCCCAACGACCAGCCCGCCCAATTCGCGCTTGGCTTGAGTCCGCCTCGCGCCAAAGCGGCGACGTAATTAAGCCAGCTGCCTCTAAATTGTGGGAGGGCTTAGCGGTATGAAGACCCTAGATTTCCGGATTTCCAGCCGAACAGGGGAATTCTAACGGCCGGGTGCTCCGAGAATGGGGTTCGGCGCTTGGAGACTGACGTAGCAATGACTCTGGTGGTGAATCATCAGGCGCAGGTCCGGTAGAAGAAGCGTTTGCAAGAGCCTCCAGCCTTGCATTTGTCCCAACTGAGTAATCGCGATTAAACCATTGCTCGCTTTTTGGATGACCTGAAAAGCAGACCACATTTGTTCGCCTCCACCCCACATTCGCCGCAGCTCGCCGCAGTTGCCGCAAGCAGCAGCAGCGACAATGCAGAGGGCGGGCTTGGGTTCAGGAACATGCGACAGTAGTCACAGCATGGCGGGAATTGTTGCATCGTTCATGCAGCGATTTCTTCGAGAAGCTTTGATGTGACACCTTCTCTTTCGGGCACATAGGCTTGTGAAACGTGATACATTTCTACATTTAGTCCTAGGGTCTATGTCTAACAATTCTTTCTATAGACCTTGACATGCGAAGATCTCTCTGTAGACGGTTCTCATGATTTGACAACATACAAAGATGTCAATTTATTGGTTTCCAAGTAAGCAGACAAAACACTACCGCAAATTACCACAGATGAATTACAACAGTGTGATTCCTGCATGTATCAACTGGACGGACGAGCGGAATGGAAAAATGTCATAGACAAAGGCAGGTACAGGGTAGGCACATTTTGGTGCACATTCCAGCCAGGTCTACAGTGACGAATTGATCAAGCCACGCTTGCATACAATCCCGAGATATCGGTATTCCTCGCTTTTTGCAACACGGCAGAATGAGGAACCACAGGATAGGCAAAAGAATGGTATTTGACTTCCGGACGGAGCCGACGATTCAACAGAAAGAAACTACCTGGAGACGAAGGCCGAGTGCCATCCGCATGCCGTAAATCAGGGCGATACAGCGGGCTTCGGTGATGGTGCGGCAATTTCTCGGGTTATGGCCGGTGCGGGAGTAGTCGGGCAAACACGCCGCAGTAGGAGGTCGCCGCATGTTGCATTGCATCATGCCAGTGATGGTAATAATTTCATCATGCCTGGAGTAACAGAGCAACATCCTTTTTAACAACTCGCCCGGCTCTTATTCTTGAACCTGAGGTTGGAACTTACTTCTTCAGACTCTCATACCAATATATTCATACCTGCAATCTTAGCACACAACCAGCTACACCTTCAATTCCATCTCACTCCGTCGATAAAAAACTGCGACCCCCGCCTATCACGACCCCCTCGCAAAGCTAATCGATCGTACGATCCGAAGGATACCCCGGAACGACCGACCCATCCTCCTCGACCGTCCGGTACTCGCAGACTTAAGACGGCTCGGAGCGTAATATAGAAACTCAATATATATCCCCGACTTTGCTTCCCGTCGCACTCGACACGCGACCAACCCTCAATTCGTTTCTTCCCATCCACAACAACCACAAATAGCTCAACGCCATGAAGGTCATCTCCCCCGAGGAGGCCGCGGCCCACAACGCCGCCGTCGTGAGAGGCGGCCTCATCGGAGGCACGGCAGGCCTCGCCATCGGCTTCGTGGGCGTCCTCGCCGGCCAGCGCCGCTACGCCCTCATCCGCAACCTCACGCTGCCCTTTCGCGCCTTCCTCGTCACCTCGGCGGGCACATTCGGCTTCGTCATCAAGGCCGAGAGCGCCTCCACGGAGTTCCAGCGCGCCCAGAACCCCATGAACTTCTACCAGGACTCGAGCCAGCGCGCCGCCGAGATCATCCGCCAGAACAACTCGGCGTACGAGCGCTTCATGGAGTGGGGCGGCGAGAACCGCTACAAGATCGTCTTCGCCTCGTGGATGGCCAGCATGGCCGTTGCCTTGGCCATCGTCAACCGCGCGCCCATGAGCACCAGCCAGAAGCTCGTCCAGGCCCGTGTGTACGCGCAGGGCCTGGCGCTCGTCGTGCTCATCGTCTCTGCTGCCTTTGAGATGCACGACGCCGCCAACGGCGGCAGCCGCTACTGGAAGACGATCAAGGTCCTGGACCCCAACGACCCGGAGCACAAGAGGATCATCGAGAAGAAGATCCACAAGGAGGAGTACGAGGGACAAGATCTCTGGAAGGGTAAGTTTTTGACCCCAATGGCTGAAACCTGCCAATTTGGTTTGAAAATTCCTTTGCTAACAGTGGCATTCATAGATATGGTTGAGGCCGAGGAGAAGCGACTGGCACACAAGGCCGAGCACCAGAACAAGGCATAGATCCTCTGTGCGCCACGTTGATTTGCTACATCGCGCCCATGGAAACAGAACATAAAACCCTGCATTATATACCTAGGACTTACTCATCTCTGTTTACCAGTCTTGCATTTTCACTGTCGAATTTCTATTGTACAAGGGCGTTTTGGGGCCGGAGCGGATTGCGATTGAACCCAAAAGCATGGATCATGTTGGATATTCACGATGAGTTGACGGTGTTTCCTGGCATTGATCGACAGATTTTTGTACTCATACGTAATTAACAACTCGCTAAGCGAAAAGAAAAGAAAAATACCACACACTTTTGACATTAAAATTTTTTTGGGTATCGTTTGTGTTCGTCTCATCTCATCTGCATGCATGCATCATGCCTATCTCCATAGGTAGGGTTGTTTCGGGAGGCCCCGGAAAACAGAGGCCCAATAAAAGAGAACCGAAAATATAGAATACAAATCACAGTGATATCAACATGAGGAACAGACGCTCTCGCTTGACCCGGCCATCCATTTTATCCTGCGTAGCAACCAGACTCCTGAAAGGGAAAAGAAGAAAAGAAAAGAACCAAACTCCTCTAGCCCACCTCACACCTCGATTGTAAAATGGCTGATTTGGGAGTAATACGCGTGTACGGCCAGCTCTAAAATCATGACATCTTTGAACACCTCGCTCCCGTCAAACCCCCCGATAACCACCAACCTGCTGTCGTAAAGAATGGCGCCGTGGTATCCCCTCCCGCACGGGGGCTTCCCGTAGGTCTTGCGTTTGTCCCAGGTCATCGTGACGAGATTGAGCAGCAGGACGTCGTTTGAGTACTCGCTCCCGTCATGCCCGCCTATGACGAACAGGTATGAGCCCACAATGGTGGCAGTGTGCGAGAGGCGGCGGTAGTTGAGTGGTATCGTGACCACCTTCCAGAAGTGTGCCTCCACATCGTAGACCCAGACGTCGTCGAAGCACTCACCGCCATCGGAGCCGCCAAAGATGATAAGCTTGGAACCGACCATATTGGCCGTGTGATAGCCACGGGCTTTGGGCTTGGGCTCCACGGATCCCTTCTTGTCGGTGCCGGATACCAAGCTCCAAGACATCTTGGTCATGTCGGAGACATCCAAGCGCCATATGTCGTTGAGGGCTCTCACGCCGTCACCGCCGCCGAACACATAGATGCCGTTCTTGTAGAAGCACGCCGTGTGGGCTCGACGCTTGGAGGGCTTCTTCTCGCCCGCAATGCGAGGTTTTGTCCACCGGAAATTCACAGTGTCCAGCACGTAAACATCGTTGTAGTAGGCGGGGCCGTCCCCGCCTCCGAAAACCACGAGCTTCTTGCCCACAGCCGTACAGGTCATTGCACGTAGGGGCGTCGGTATATCCCCAACCACATGCGGCCGAGACCAGTAGAATGAATCAGCGTCGAGAACATAGACGTCGTTGAAACAGGCACGAGCGTCGCACCCGCCAATGACGTAGATGTTGGAGCCGATCAGAGCAGTGGTATGTGCCCGTAGGCATGGTATCGGCCCTCCAGAGACGAGGGCCTTGGACCAGTACATGCCTGAAGCTGGGGCCGGGGCCACGTCGGGGGCGTCGTCGGGACCTTGGATGGGCGGGAAGCGGGCGAGCTGGCTCTGGGTTCGGTGGGATAGGGAGGATGTAGACTGGTGGCTCGAGACGCCTGATGCCGACCGAGAAGCCTCTTGCCGTTTGCCCCCACTCGGCACCCTCTCTGCTTTATCGTCGGGGTCCTCGCTCGTGCTGGTGCCATTGCCCCAGCTGTTGGGCTTTGCTGCTGGGTTGCCTGCGGTGGCCGGGCGGGGTGGTAGGGCAGCCGCCTGGGACGACCATTGCCGATTCGAGACTTCTGAAGGATTGCGACGGCGGTGCTCGTAGACCTTGGCTTTGCTGGCAAGCTGGCCAGGTGTATGGCTGCGCGGCAATGGCGCCTGGTCGGTCGATGCGTCCGAATCCTCGGTGTTGTCGATGGGCGGTGAAGCTGTGGTAACAATCTTTTGACTGCGGACGACCTTGCCAGGGACGCCCTGCCTTTCGTCGGACTTAGCCGAGTCCGCCATAGTCTCCCAAGCTGCTGTTCATTCCCTCCGCGCAGAGAATGGGATGGAGGGTGGAGTGTGTGCTGAGCTCAGGCAGAGGGCGTGGAGAAGCAGGAAACGCTCTGCGTGTCTAGCGGACTGGGTTGAGTGTGGGTTCCTTACGGAGCTGAGTTTCGAGCTGGCAGAGGCGGTAAATGATGAAGCAGAGCAGGTCAATGCGGCGGCTTGCGTGCACTGCTTGGACCTTTATTTTCCAGGAGCTCGTATCACACAGCGGAAGAATAGACATGGCATGATGGTAGCGCGAACATCTGCCCCTCTCACTTGGGCTGTCACCCAGTCGCAGGCGCTAGCATCTGGCTCTCCTCCAGGCACAGCTTAAATTAAGCTGGATAAGGTACAGAGTGGCCGATTGGGTGGCCCGCAGCCCGCAGGGAGCTTTCGGAGCCGTGATGCTCGACCGATCAGCGGTTCTGCCATCTCGCACAGCATTTGATGTGCAGCCGTTCTCAGAATGCTCTTTTCTGAGCGGCAACGGTTGCAATTGAGGCGGATCGGTGCTAAAGTACAGAACCGAGCACAACTTTATGAAATGCTATTTTTAAAAAGCACATCGTTAATTGAGCCGCTTGAAGCATCGGGTACTTAAGCAATCGACTGACATAAAAGATGTCACACCCAGAACCTCTAGTATTGAATTTCAATAGAATATCAGAACAACCAACCTAGTAATAGATACAACATCAAGCTAAATATAATAGGGAAATCTCTTGTATTCTTATTATTATATTTAGTATTATTAACGAGAAAATGGGGTCCCTGACTTGCGTGAAAAGAGCATGTCAGTCGCTTGTTAAGCTGCCGAGTCCGAGGTACCTTGTCTCAACCCGCGCTAGTACCCATTTGTGGATTGGAATCACCGTCATTGGCCCTGGCAATTTTTCACTTACAGTCAAGCTTGAATCTCTTGGTGAAGAGCGTATCTTGCAGCATCTCTCACCATAAATTCCCTCTTTTCACCGGGCGCGATTTCGTGTGAAACAGAATGGCGACCGAGAGCATGGATGTCAACATGAACGGCGCCGCAGCTGAAACAGGTGCCGCTCCGGCGTCCCAAGCCCCAAGCTCTCGCCCTGGAGACGATGGTGATGAGAGAGCTGCAAAGAGGCAGAAGGTGGACAGCTCGGGATTGGGCAACGAAACTCCCACTGAAAAGTCAGTCGCAGAGAAGGACACACAAGTTGAGAAGAAGACCAATGGCTCCAATTCGGCTCCAGACGACAGAGACGTAAGAAAAGGTGTTGCACCTGTCAAAAAAGAGTAAGCTCAAGACAACCAGGTTTCCAGAATGACATCCGTTTGCCAGTTGCTGAGACCGGAATTTTCACAGATATCTCATTGACATGAGCAGCGCGGCTCCAACTGAGGCGCCTGATGATGATCTTGCTGAGGGCGCAGGCCACCAGCGCCAGGATGACAGGGATTCAGGCAACAAGGGCAGGAAAGACAAGAAGCAGAAGAATCGCGGCCAGAACACGGAGCGCACGTTTGGTCACTTTGATGACGCAATTCGCCTTTGTAATAGTAGAGCCTACTATTCCGAATTCTCCCCTCGGGAGTGTCGGTTTGGCGACAGGTGTCGTCAGTCCCACGATCTTCGCAAGTACCTTGCCGAGGGACGACGAGAAGACGTGGAAACATTTGGCGGAAAATGCCCTATTTTCGAGCAGCATGGCCGATGCTCCGCTGGCTGGAAGTGCCGATTCGTCAAGAGCCACATGCGCGAGGTAGAGCACGAGGATGGGCGTAAAGAGTTGGTCCTCATCGATAATGTCACGAAACAGGATTCAAATGGCTCGGAGGAGGCAAAAGGGGGCGAGGATGTCGAAGATCGACGCGCCGACGTGTTCAACATTGTTCCGATGCAGAACAAGATCGATCTCAACCGGAAACGAGTTGATTTCAGCCGGTCTGAGAAGTACATCGAATGGCTCAACAAGGAGACCAAGGCAAACGACAAGCTCTTCCAGGCCACCAAGGACAAAACCCCTGAGGAGATGGCCGAGTTAAGAGCTGCGTTCATCGACCCGCCGTTCAAGCCCTCGGAGAAGAGGAGAATCTACTTTGGCCCGGAAACACCCACTTTGGCACCGCTGACGACACAGGGCAACCTGCCCTTCCGTCGACTCTGTATCGACCTGGGAGCCCAACTCACCTACTCAGAGATGGCAATGGGCATGCCACTCATCCAAGGCACAAAGGCTGACTGGGCCCTCCTAAAGGCGCACAAGTCAGAGCTCGCACCTCCCAAGTACACCCCCGGCACGAGCTACGTCGTCGAGAACTATGACAACGCAAAGGACCTCCGGTTCGGCGCTCAGATCTCCGCCAGCGTCCCCTGGGTCGCCGTCAAGTCGGCAGACGCCCTGAGCCGCTGGTGCCCTCACCTGCGGCTCATCGACCTCAACTGCGGCTGCCCCATCGACATGGTCTTCAAGTCGGGCGGCGGCTCCGCCCTCCTCGACAACGCCGGCAAGCTCGAGCGCATGATTAGGGGCATGAACGCCGTGTCGGGCGAGGTACCAATCACGGCTAAGATTCGAACTGGTGTCCGGAACAACCGCCCCACGGCCAACCAGGTCATCAGCAGACTCGCCTTTGGTGGCAGCGAGCACCGGGAACGCCTTGGAGCCCCAGGCTGCGCAGCCATCACCCTCCACGGACGCAGCCGCGAGCAGAGATACACTAAGAAGGCAGACTGGGGCTTCATTGGACAGTGCTCCGCCCTGATCAGGTCCTACAACGAGGAGAAGGACGACCTCACTGACACCGCCGCCGAGCCTGACCCAAACACCCTGGCCAACACCAAGGACGGGAGGGTCTACTTCCTCGGCAACGGCGACTGCTTCTCCCACGAGGACTACCAGGACCACATCCAGAACGCGGGCGTCGACAGCGTCATGATCGGCCGCGGCGCCCTCATCAAGCCCTGGCTCTTCGAGGAGATCGAAAAGGGCCAGTACCTCGACAAGTCCGCCACCGAGCGCCTCACCTACATCGAGAAGTTCGTCCGCTACGGCCTCGAGGCCTGGGGCTCCGACGAGCTGGGCATCGGCTTCACGCGGCGGTTCCTACTTGAGTGGCTCAGCTTCACGCACCGCTACGTGCCCATCGGCTTGCTGGAGCACCTGCCGCCCAGCCTCAACGACCGGCCGCCGGCCTACAAGGGCCGGAACGAGCTTGAGACGCTCATGGCTTCGAACAACTACAAGGACTGGATCAAGATCAGGTAAGATCCCCTTGACTTACTATATTCTATTGATCCCGTCAACTCTATGTGATACATGACTTGCTGACTACTTTCTAGTGAGATGTTCCTCGGACCAGTCCACCCAGGCTTCAACTTCCAGCCTAAGCACAAGTCAAATGCATACGAAGCAGAGGGCTGAGGCCCATGAAGATATAATTGCTGGCGTCGGCATCCTCTCAAATTCGAGGGTTGGGCAGTTGGTGAAACAGAAAGGGTGCGAATTTAAGTACGGTATTCTAGACATTGAATGTTCACTTCTGAAGCAAGTAAAGCGGATACAGACATCATCACTTGGGAAAAGGAGATGGAGAATAATAAGGGCCAAAGCAGAGGGCCTTAGGTATATTATATATGACAATAAACGCCGTGACAATGAACGCCGTGTGGCTTGAACAACCACATGTTTTGCCTCGTCTTGCCGCATCCCACAAAAGAAAAGATGAAAAAAAAGACTATGTTTTACAGCCATTGCTGTGTTCGGCAAGGTGTCAGGAAGTACCCGTGTGGCCGAACTGACACTGCACGCAGCCAAGCATTTCCCACCTAGGAGTAGAATTGACTTCTTTGCATGCCCTCAACTGTGGTGTACTCCTTCTTGCCCTCGCTCTCGATCTGCTTCTGCCCTTCAACAGCTGCGCTCGTCAGTGAGCTTGTCCTGCTAGTATCATCCGCTGACTTGATCTGCTTCACATCCTGGGTCGGGCGCTTCAAGAGCTCAAGATAGGTGGAGGGGAGGTAGCCCTGGCGGCCATCGCGCGACCGACACTGCCACCAATCACTGGGGTTTCCGGTTGGGTCATTCTTGGTCAGAACAGCAACTAGATCACCCTTGCGAGCTTCAAGCTCGACACCAGTGTTGGGCTGGGGCAGGAAGTCGTACAGAAGGCGACAGAATTCGAGCTTGGACGGATCGATGGGCTGCTGTTGCTGTAGAGCTTGTTGCTGAAGACGTTGTTGCTCTTCCTCATGTGACGCAGCCAGAGACCTGATCAACTTGGACATGAGATATGGCAGGCCAAAGGCTGCGGCGATGAAGAATAGGAGGGGCTTCCTGCTGGCACGCGGGGTGGCTCCGGAACCATCAGCAGCGCCGGAGGCACGGCCTTCGAAGCGAGCAAATGCTGCTGGGGTGAGAGCAGTGGCATCAGCTGGGGGCGGTCGGCCAGTGATTTTGGCGAGAAGGGTACGGATCCAACGCATGAGGGTGAAGATTCCGAGGATTGATCCTAGAGTGTCACGCAGGTTGCTGAACTGCTCGGCAACAGACACCATCGCTACTCAACTGTTAGAAACATGTGCGGCATAGAGAGGGATTAACAAGGGCTCAAGACGGAGGAGAACATACCAAAGAAGCTTGAATGTGTAGCCATATATGTGCTCTCCAGCATCTGGGCAAACCCTCCAAATGTGGCGACAATGCCTTCCAGCATCTGGAAAGTGGCGGCCGTACTGTTGCTGAAGCTGTTGGTCAGGCTGTTTGGGTCATTGGGACCACCGGGCATGCCGCCCATCCCTCCATACATGCCACCTCCGTACATACTGCCTCCATACATGCCTCCGCCATACATGCCACCGCCGATGCCACCGCCGTAGCCGCCGCCATAGCCCCCGAATCTCGAGTATGGGCTCCCCATGGAAGAGTATGGGGAAGAGTATGCGCCGCCATATGAAGAGTAGGGGGAGGTGTTCATCCTGGAGTAGGCGGCCGCGTTTTGGTTCACGGTACTGGAGAGGGAGGCAGGTCGGTCGGGAAGAGGCGGCGCAGTCGAGGTGGCGGACGCGGTCGGTGAAGTTGCGATTGAAGGAGCGGAGGCTGTGGTAGGGGACGCTGTCGGACTCGCGTTAGCGACAAGAAATGGAGATGATATGGGTGATGGGATATCATACCAGCTGTGGCGCCAGCGCCAGCTCTCTCCCAGGGCTTGGGGGGAGACGCCATATTAATACAATCGAGGAGCACAATGCAGGTTCAATCTCGTGTGGAGAAGGCGGCGACCGACGCTGGGAGGCGCTGCGCAGGAGGCAGGGATTGAGGCCCTCGCGGTTGCCGACGAGGCCAGGCGAGGCCGAGAAAGGAGACAGATAGCAGTTGCTGGCCCGGGGTCTATCGCATCGAATTACAAAAGGTCGCAAGCGCGGCGGGATGGTCTGCTGGAAGGGTCGAGTATGGTGAATGGGAGACGTTGGCGGAGGTGGTGGAGGAGAGGGTTGGTGTTGAAATTGGCCCAGGCTGGAGCAAGCGAGATCGTGTGGAGTCGCTGGGGGAGACTGATCAGTGCTCCAGGGTTTTCCATCAGTGGCGGGTGGGGAGCCTGGACGCCGCTCGCTCTCCGGCTTCGCATTTGCCTCGGCATGTCTGCTCCACCGGCCTCCAACCCGTGATTCTGAATGCTGGAGCCGACGGGAGTACACCCGGCTATCGACGAGATGATTAATGCTCGTCAGTCTTTTGCCACACCAATCATGGCCACTACGGCAGCTGAATTCCACCCCATATGGAACCTCGGATTTATGACCGTAGCCCAGCCATTCACATCTTGTCGCTTGTCCCAGGCAAGAAATACAAGATTTGATCAATTCCTAGCTAACGCGAGCATGCGCGTGTATTAAATCATCTCGAAAGAGAAATGCCCATCATTTACGCGACCCAACCGTCCCTTTTCCCTATGTATAGTCTCTTTGATGACTTCCTTGTGTTACCGTCAAACGCCAATTCCATGCCTGCGCCTTACCACCGCCGAAAATGTATACTTTGGTCCCATATGCCCGCCATAACTTACCCGGTCGCACCCTTGTCGCATAAATAATAATGTCGCCATCCTTGGCCGTCTCCTGCAGGTAGCAAGCAGGCCGAGTCTAGGTCGGCTTGGAATCAATCAATGTTGGCGCTATCCGCCTTTTCTTTGGCTCCTTGCCGTCTTCCTTCTCGCTTTCACTGGCCTCCCGTTTGACACCGCCGCTCACACTTCTGGGTGTTTCGGGCGGTGTTGTGATGGGCACACCCGTCACCTTGCCCGAGCTGGTCGCTGTGAGCCCAGGAACACTGCCGCCGATGAGTGGTGGGTTGCTGACGACACTTGTGGGAACTGTCGATGACTGGGTTGCAATGGACGAGGTGGAATTGGACCTCGCAGGGGAGTGGGGGCGTTGCATGTTGAACGACGACGTTGACGCTGGTGGGGATGGTGCGGTGAAGGATGTGGCCGAGTTACGATGTTGGTGGTGCGAATGCTGAGACCCGGGAGGGAATGGTGATGGAGGAGCAAACTGGGTTGTTGGCGTCGGTGTCGGCGGGTTCTGGCTCAACACATTTGGGTTGGAAGCTGATGCTGAGGACTTTGGCGGGCCTACCTCGCCTTTATATACGTCACCCAACTCTCCAGGCTGAAACGAGAGGGTTGAACAGAACCCGTCCGAAGAAGAGATCATAAGGGTAAGTCCATCAGATGACCTATCGGCATTGGTTAGATGATACAAACGTCAAGAACGAACTGCGGCCATTGACTTGGCTCTTACCATGCTAGATCGGTAAATGTGGCGCAGTGTAAATTGCTCACGACACAAATTGGTGTCTTCTGCTGCGTGTCATAAAGTAGAACTGAATCTTGTGTTGCTACAGCGTAGACAATACGGTAGTTTAAGCTGAACGCAGGCTTGGGCCCAGACGAGGGTAGCCCAGCCTCAGACTTGCCAGCTGTTGACCCAGCTTCGGAGCCTGCGGTAGCTGGAGGAGGTGGAGGCTCCATGATAGAGCTCCCAGGAGAATCCTTGGAAATGGGCTCAGGAAGCGCTGGGATGGCATCATCAGAGGAGGATGTGTCGATTGTGATGTGCTTGGTCGCTGGTGCAGCTTGTCTCAGCGTATAAATGATTGGCGAGCATTTCACAACCACAGAGGGCTTTTTATGCCCAGGCAGGTGTGCCACCGGTGGTTTGTTGATCCCTCCCCTGGTGTATATGTAAACCGTGTTGATGACTTCGGTGGTTGGCTTAGCGTCCTTCTCGCCAGAATGCTGATTTTGATACTGGCCAGACGGGGTGAGCAGAAGGCTTCCGTCAGGAGTAAAAGAAAGCCGGCGGAAGAATGACGTGAGCGTTTCATTAGCATACAAGTTTGCATTCTTCATCCCCAAGCCTACGCTTGTGGCCACAGAGTGAGGCTTTGGTGAGGCTTCCATCGGCATGACTGCGGGCAAGGGCATTGACGGTGCGGGAGAGACAGATCGACGAGAAGAGAATGAAGACCGACGACTGTGACTGACAACACTCGGAGGGTTCATTGGGAACGCGGAGGAAGTAGGTGTGCCGGGTGTAGAAGGCACTGGGGACCCAATAGATGGAGCGGGCTCGAGAACAGCTAGCTGGGCACGATGACCAAAATCCGGAGGTGCAGGGCTGCTGGAGGAGATTCGGCGTGGTGGCAGATCTACCTTGATGTGGCTGGCAAGTCTGGGAGCCTTGTCGTCTGAACCAAGCGTGTACTGGCCATCCTTGGTCTTGAGAGAGTAGATATGAACAGATCGGTCTGAGGACTGGGTTGCTATATATTCGTTCAGAGGATCCCATGCTACGCCCTGGACGTAATGGCTGTGCTCGGCAATTTGGCGAACCAAGGTACCTGTAAAGCATTAGACAAGAGATTTAGGACCGAGAAGTGCAGAGTGTGCTCACCTGAGTTGGCATTGTAGATTCGAGCAATGTTGTCCATGCTGCCGATGATGAAGTATTGTCCATCAGGAGACCAGGCGAGATCGTAGATCTCAGCTCCGCTAGAGCGACACATGTGCTTGGCTCTCCATGACTCCTTGTCCTCTAGAACCTCATTTCCAAAATTCGAAGGGGGTGTATCGCTTGGAACCCAAATAATTACGTTGCCATCATCGCCGGCCGAAGCTAGAATCTCGCCTGCAATGGATGTTAGCTGAAGTGCTCGATGGTCGATCAACCTATCGCTAGGGTGCTGAAAACTTACCCTTGGGAGCCCATCGGACAACATTGACAGCTTGGTTGTGTTTGGAGAGGGTAGAGAGATATTCTACCCTCCGTTCAGGTCCGTCAGAATCAACCTGCCAAAGCCTCACGTTATTGTCACCACCTGCAGTAGCCAAACGCCCCTTGCCTGCAGGCTCGAAGTGAGCAGAGTACACAGGGGCGTTTTGATCGTGCCAATTGATGATGAGGGGCGTCGCCTTCATCGTTACGAATGTGGTCCAGTTTTGCTGTGCGATCGCATGTGCGGCATAGGTAGGAGGAAGGGCTGTCGCTAATTGGAGTCGCGTCACTGGCTACCAGGCTGAGAGGCTGAGGAGATATTGAGCTCGGGGCTTGACAGGTGGGAGCTATAGTGGGGAGGTCGCGGGAGATGGAGAGAAGTTTGAGATCAAGAGACAAGTTCCGGAGGGATGTTGAGGAGAAAAGCAGAATCGAGATCACGAATAGGTGAGATGATGGTCATAACCGGTCACTTTGATATTCCGGGCTACGTTCTACTACTTGTTCCCCAGCCACGAAGGCGCATAACATGGCTTGGCTTGGCTTGTGACGGCAGTTCGGGTAGGTGCTCTGCTGGTAGGTTGGGTAAATTAAGAGCGACGTAGTTGGTGGGACTCGCGCTGTGGTACCCGCTAACAGCTTGTAACAAGCTTCCAGTGGCTGCTCATGCCGGCTCCAGGCCTGATGCCCCTCTAACTTGTCCAGACCTCCACTGACTATGCCTAGACGGTAGCACTGGCTACGATATGCGGCGCGCCGCGAAATGCCGGGTCTGGGGCGGCACGACACGACATACGACACGGCAAGTTACGACGTGTTCTACCCATGCTGGCGTCTGGCAATCAGATAGTTTTGTGTGAGACTCAATGCTACCGGACGTGATTCTCGTCCTGCAGCTGGGAGACACGCTGCTTACTGCTTTGGAGAGGGGCAATCAGTGGCGGGTGCGATAGGTGCCCGGCAGGCAGGCCTTACTTGGGTGCCCTCATTCCTGGAAGAAGAGTGTGGATTCAGTGCGTATCACTTTGCTTGTGTGCGCGCGCGTGTGTGTGTAACCTGCGCACTTGATGGTGTGCAGGGGAGCCCGTGTGCCGCTCAACTGCAGCATGCGACTCATTTCACCTCACCTTGCACATAGGGAATAATGACATGCACTACTATGTGCTTTGGGCCTGATGAACTTATGTCGAGGCCGCCGGGTGCATCGGATTGGGCGGTGGGAGCTTGTTGCCCCGGCTATCGCCTGGGAGGCGTCTGCTTGAGCCAGTTAAACCCGCCGAGAAGGGTGTGGGTGGTGGGCCGGTGTGATAAATGCACGGCGTGCACTGCGTTCATTCTTCTCAGTTGAGGCAATGAGCTCTTTTCCTCCATGGATGCCGCGCTCCTCATTGCTTGATCGGTGGTAGAGTCTTGCTGCTAGCTTCAATTTAGGTAGCCGTAGGAGCAGAGAAGGAAGCACTGGCAGCAGGCAGGCGCGGATGAGATGGTCCCTGCCGCGGTGGATGGCCCTTGGATTTTGCAGGCGCCCGCTCAGACTAAGTCGTAGATACTGCTGGCCCCATCTTCCGCCGCTCGCCCATCCTGCACTTGGTGAGACATACGCAGAGAATCCACAAAGAGGGTCTTGCAATGAGCTGCTGCCTCATCATGCTTGGTGCCTACATCCTGGGACCCTGAGGATGCCATTCACCACTACTGTTGCCGCCATCCTAGGCCACAAGGATACGAAATACCCAGTACGACCCTCTGCTTGCCTTTTTACCCGTTGAGTCATCTCGCCGGCAGAAAGTCTGACACTGTGCAATGGCCCTGTCTATGGGCGGAAACCACAGTGTGGCGCCGCTCGGATTGCCACGGCCTTCAATTGATGGCCGTGTGCTAGGGGTTGCAGGCCTGCACAACCAGGCAGCCAGAGAGGCAGGGTCCCTGACGACATGGAGGAGGCTGTCAGATGGTACTAACCTGCTACATCCGGCTCCAAGAATCGCTATGATGGGATTTGGGTGCCGTAGACCGGTGTTTATAACACCATCGGTGCCCACCACACGGCACCCACGAAGCCGCAGCTTACATGCTGCTGGTTTAAGACATCGCGATATAGTGGACTGGCATTAGGTTGTTCTCTTCACCATATATTTCTTCTCTCTCATCTGGTTGCCGGGCTCCGCTGTCTATTCAACTTGTGTCCGGCCCTGGCGATCCAATGTCGCTGACGAGAGAGACATCAGCTTCTTCTATTTAGACTACTAACCAAAGCTGAAGATGACGGAGCTGGCTCGTCTCCCAGCCTCTGCCACTGGGCTTGGCCTCGTCGCTCTGCTCTCGGTCCCCGCGTTGAGGACGTTTGTCTTGCAAACGCGCAAGGGAGCTGCGAGGGACAATTTCTATCAGGATCGCGATGGCAAAAGTACCCCTGAGGCAATTGCTAGTTTTTCTAATAGGCGCCACAAGATTGCTCTACTGTTGTCTTCTGTAATTGGATTGGCCACTTCGGTTGCTCTCTCAGTCGTAGTTACTCTCGATCAGACACAACATAAGTTCTGCGTGGAGACTTGGCTTAACACTGCTTCCTGGGTAGGTCAACTCCCTCGCCCTGCTCCCTTGTTGCCTCGCCGGGACGTCTTACGTTGGCCATGCCATTGCTCACCACCTGCAGGTTCTCATCCAGTCCCAAGCGACCCTACTGTTCGCCATCCATGCTCCGGTAGAGGTGCATGATACCGGGTTCTGGATATTCTTGTCTTGCTTAATCACGGGGTCAATCACATCCATACAAACTTATGCTGCCATTGGAGACTTCGCCCATCGACTTGATGTGGCGCTGATACTTCGTGCTGTCAACGTCGGGGCGGCAGTGGTGACCTTGATTTCTAGCATCCTCATCCCACGGCGTCCAGAAGTCTTCTTTCGAGACGAGCCGGTGGATAGCCAATGGACCACATCGGTGCTTAGCAGGGGCACCTGGGGCTGGCCCAGAGCCCTTATGGACAAAGCTTCGAAACAGGGTGATCTCGAGGAACGGGACATCCCCCAGCCGGACCATCTCCTTCGTGTAGAGGAGGTAATGGTGACTTGGAACTCTCAGAACAAAGACCAGACCCTTCTCCGTGACCTCTGGACGGTCTATAGAGGACGAATCCTCCTCCAGTGGACCACGACAATTCTTCGATGCGTTTTTGGTGTAATTCCTTTCTGGGTCATGTTGGATCTGGTACAAAGACTTACTGACCGTGGAGGAGACGCTGGTGCGCCATCCCGTGAATTGTGTGGCCTGGTTGTTTTACTTGGTCTGGTATCAATGGCTGAGCAGGTGAGTACCGCTATACCCCTTTGCGATAATAGACGAAGCTAACAACGGTCTTGAATATAGTGGGCAGATAGTTGGGTCAGTTTTTACGCTATCAATATGTTAATGATGCCCATGCGAGCCCAGCTGTCGGCGCTTATATACGAAAAGTCTCTCCGACGCAAGAATGTAAAGTCAGCGGAGAAGACTAAGGAAAGTGAACAGGGGGAGGGGGAGGCAGCGACATCTACACGTTCTGAGAGCCACGGGGGTGATGAGGAAACACCGCTGCTGGACGGTCACGGTGATGAAAATCAGGCGGCAGCAAACAATGGTACCGGCACCAATCCCTCTGATACCAACGGGAACACGAAAAAGACCGAAGATCAGAAACCTGATGACTCCGAGCCCGAAGACACGAGCTTCCAATCACGCCAATCCGTCGTCAACCTAGTCGGAATCGACACCAGGAGAATTTCGAATTTCATGGCCATGCAGTTTTTCATCGTCGCCAGCTTCGGCAAACTCATTTTCTATTCCATTTTTCTCATTCAGCTCATCGGCTGGATTCCTTTCGTCGTCGGTATCCTTGCCTGGGCATTAGTTCTCCCCATCAACACGTACTTTTCTAAGCGTCTCATCAGGCTGACGGGAAAGATAATGACTGTTCGGGACAAGAAGCTAGCCATTGTTAACGAGGCCCTGCAAGGCATTCGCCAGATCAAGTTTGCTGCTCTGGAAGGAGAATGGGAAAACCGCATCAATGGTGTTCGGGACGAAGAACTGGGGGCCACCTGGACTATGTTTCTAGCAGACGTCGGCATTTTTGGGTGTTGGGTGGTGAGCCCTATTCTTCTGGCTGCCGCCTCGCTAGCAACATATGCTCTCATAGAGGGCGACTTGACGCCTCCAGTTGCCTTTGTGAGTATCAGTGTCTTTAAGGCCCTTGAGGTTACATTGGGGGCTCTTCCAGAGCTCCTGACTGGTGCTTTTGAAACTCTTGTTTCTATTCGCCGGGTAGACTCCTATTTGAAGGGGCCCGAGATGAAACAGACGGTATCCGAAGGGCCCGATGTCGGGTTTGAAGACGCGACTATTTCTTGGCCTGTGGATGAAGAGGTACCCGAAGAGGGACGTTTTCTGTTGAAGAATCTCAACTTCACCTTCCCAGCTGGAGAACTGTCCGTCATTACTGGAAAAACTGGCACCGGCAAGAGTCTTATTCTCTCCGCTCTCATCGGAGAGTCTGATCTTGTACAAGGCAAGATCCGCACACCCCCTCGGCCATCCTTCTTGGAACGTAACGATTTGAATGCGCACCCAGGCAATTGGATTCTACCGGGTAGTGTTGCTTTTATCGCCCAGACGCCATGGTTGGAAAGTGCCTCTTTGCGAGATAACATCCTGTTCGGACTACCTTTTGTTAAATCTCGATACCATCAGGTTCTTCGAGTCTGTGCGCTAAAGAAAGACCTTGATATCTTGACGGATGGAGACAAAACTGAGCTTGGTGCGAATGGGATCAATCTAAGCGGTGGTCAGAAATGGCGCATCACGCTTGCTCGTGCCATCTATTCCCGTGCTGAAATCCTGATCATGGACGACATCTTTAGCGCTGTCGATGCCCATGTTGGCCGCCAGATTTTCGAAGAGTGCATCTCAGGTCCCATTTGCAAGGGGCGTACCCGGATTCTCGTTACCCACCACGTAGGCCTGGTGCAGTCCAAGGCTAAATTCTTTGTTGAGTTGGGGGAAGAAGGCGTTCTCCACTCGGGATTGACCTCTGAGCTGGCTGCAACAGGGGTACTTCAGGAAATCAAGAACCACGAGCAGACCCCGGAGGAAATCCAGGAAGATGAGGCAACTGGATCCTCAACTGCCGTTGCATCAGAAGCAGCCTCGACTGTAGAGACTCCTCCAAACGAAGAAGAAACAGGAGACGACCCAGATTCTGATGCCGACGCAAAGAAGTTTATACAGGATGAGACGCGCGAGAAGGGCATGGTCAAATCCCAGATTTATTCGGCGTATATCAAGGCATCTGGGGGAGTCCCTGCCTGGCTTCTGTGTGTCCTGATCTATACTGCATTCGAGGGAGGCAATTTAGCTAGGTCCTGGTGGGTTCGAATCTGGACTGGAAGTGATGACAGCGCTTCTGGTCTCTCAACGGGAAATGCTCTTCACCCGCAAGGTTTTATCATGCCCGGGCTGACCATCCAAGAACCGGCATATAGCCCACAGTTACTTGTTGCCCCCTCGCACACTCGCGGCCTTACTTTTTATCTTGGCATCTATTGTGGGTTGTCCTTGGCGGCAGGTATCATTGGAACTCTTCGGTTCTGGTGGGCGTTCTGGATGAGTATCATGGCCAGTAGAACCTTGTTTCGAGAAACGCTCGGCAGTGTCCTGCGAACTCCTCTACGATGGCTCGACACCGTCCCAGTTGGTCGCATTTTGAACCGCCTGACTTCGGATTTTGAGACGATCGACCAACGCTTGAGCATGAATCTTGGTATGCTCGTTTGGCATCTACTTTCTGTTGGATGCGCATGCATTGCCGCTTCTATGGTGTCGGCGTATGTCCTTCTGCCAGCATCGGTGTTGATTGCTGTGGCTGGAGTTATTTCCAAGAAGTACTTAGATGGTGCCCGGCCGTTTAAGCGACTGGAAAGCACATCAAAGTCCCCTGTATTCGAACTCTTCAACGCGACGCTCAACGGCATATCTACTCTGCGAGCGTTTGAGAAGACGACGGCTTATAATGACAAAATGAATCAGAAACTGGATCTGTGGGATTCTGTTACCATGTGCATCTGGTCTAGCAACCGATGGCTAAGTTTCCGAACATCAATGGTTGGAACCGTTTTCACCACTATCATTGGATTTGTCGTCATCTTCACGCCCGGAGTGGACGGAGCATTGGCTGGGTTTGCATTGTCTTTCGCTCTCGATTTCACAAGTAACATTCTTTGGACCATACGAAGTTACTCACAGCTGGAATTGGACATGAACGCTGCTGAGAGAGTCATTGAATATTCAAAGCTCCAGACAGAGTCTCAGGAGGGTCAGACTCCTCCAGCGTCTTGGCCAACTTCTGGTAGAATTGAGGTGAAGGATCTCGTTATTGGATATGCCGAGAACCTTCCCGCAGTGCTCAAGGGCATCACATTTGATGTCAGACCTAACGAACGGATCGGTGTTGTTGGACGTACAGGTGCTGGGAAGTCTTCGTTGACACTCGGCCTCTTCAGATTCCTGGAACCACGATCCGGTTCAGTGCACATCGATGGTATAGATACGTCCAAGATTGACCTGTACACCCTTCGCTCTCGTCTGTCGATTATTCCTCAGGTATGTTGAATCCCATCTATTAATGTGCATCAAAGCTGATAAACCATTGTAGGATCCTGTTCTTTTCTCGGGAACGATCAGAAGCAATCTTGACCCCTTTAACCATCGAAGCGACGAGGAACTGAAGACGGCACTGGCGCGTGCTCATCTGATCGAGTCCGGTGAAGGTGACGCATCGGGAGCTGCGACGCCTACCGGCGGCCAGGGCAATTTCAATGTCTTTAAGGATCTAAACAGCCCCGTGTCCGAGTCAGGCGGTAACTTTTCCCAAGGCCAGAGGCAGCTCCTTTGTTTGGCTCGTGCCATCGTGTCCCGGCCCAAAGTCATGGTTCTTGACGAGGCTACATCCGCTGTGGACATGAAGACGGACGCGCTGATTCAACGAAGCATCCGTGAGGAGTTCACCACCAGCACCCTGATTGTTATTGCCCACCGACTGAGCACCGTCATTGATTTCGATCGTATTCTTGTTCTCGGCGGTGGTGAAATAGTAGAATATGGCACGCCAAGGGAGCTCTGGGAGAAGGAGGGCGGCCTCTTTAGGGAGATGTGTGAAAATACTGGTGAGCCGGACCTTCTGAGGGGGAAAATATACGGTGGTAAATGAGAAGTGTGTTTGGAATATTTCTTAACATTTAGAATCGCGGGTTCCTGATTTGGAAAAGCGGGGGGATAGATGAATACAAGGAGGGAAAGAGTTTTGAGTTTATATAAATGCTTTGAATAAATGCTACGGTCTGTTTCGGATCTTGTTGTCTACTAGGAGGGATATATCCCGGTGAGATAGTTGAAACAGGATCATCGTTGACGTGTATGCGGATACGGACATTGGACCTTGCGATTCTCTCGATCTAGTGACTGACATATCATTCTATCTATCTTGAGACATATCCCCTTATCCCCCTATTTTCTCTTTCATGTTTGGATTTGGATCTTGTTTTACTCTCGGAGATGACAGCAAGTACTTCGCATTGCTAAATAGGTAGTTTGCACAGGGGGGCATGTAATTGTCATATGGAATTTGATCAGATAGCTATCTCTTCTGAAATTGGTTGTAGGTTTTAACGGTTTGTCTTCTTCATTGCATCCTGGCCCGAAATCAATCTGAATGGCCGTCATCGTTCATATCATATCATCAAAGTCATTATCTCATACTGAAATGGGCAGCAAACATGGTGTCCCATCCTATCAAAGAGAAGTGAAGGAAAGTCTTAACGAAATAAAAAAAATTGAAACAAAACAAGAATGAATATAAAGCCCTGCTGCCCGCTCACGCATCCGAGTACTCTCTCTCAGAATCTGCCTCGTCCTCGCTGGAGAGCTCATACTCCCCTCCATTGAGCGGGGCCGAGGTCTTGATGAAGTCCCTGAACCCGGAGCTGATCTTGACAACGGCACGCATGTGCTTCTCGGAGATGGTGACCAGCTCCAGGCTGTCCTCCTTGGCCTCGTTCTCGGCGAGGGCGAGGGCCGTCTGCATGGCGTTGCGGATCTCGCGGCCGTTCCAGCCCAGGCTGCGGACATCGCGGCTGTTCCAGATGTACTCGCGCGCCGGCACGGATACGTGGACCTTTCCGGATGAGTCCCGGTCAAGACGCTCGAAGTTGTTGGTCCAGATGCGCTCCCTGTCATCATCGGTCAAGTTCTTGTAGTGGAGTGCCACATGGATACGGCTGAGGAAGGCGGTGTCGAAGGACTGGACACGGTTGGTTGTGAGGAAGAGTACACCACGGTAATACTCGAGAGCCCGGAGGAATACGGAGACAAGTCCGTTTCGGGAGATGTCCTTGGACCTGCGGCGTTCAAGATAGACGTCGGCTTCGTCGAGAAGGACGAGAGCACCGTACCGGTGGCCGAGTTCGAGGAAGTAGCTCAGTTTGTGCTCGACGTGGTATGAATTGACGCTGAGGTCACCGCTGGTCAAGGAGATCAACGGCCGGTTGGTCAGCTCGGCGATGCACTCGGCCGTGCAGGTCTTTCCTACACCGGGGTCTCCGTGGAGGAGGAAGATGCGGCCTTCGCCCTTGTTCTTCACAAAGTCGTTACCCCAGGGAGTGATGGGGGCATCGATGCCAGCTGCGAATTTCCCAATAAGGGCCTTGACAGTGAGCTTGATTTCGTCGTCGAGAACCAGGTACTTGAAAGCCTCCTTGTCAGTCTTGACAGGCTTGATGTACTCAAGGTTCAGGTGGCCCCAGCGACGCTGGCCCAAGATGAAGGCTGGGATGGTATTGCTAAGTACGAGATAGAACAGCTCACTGTCCGGGGGAGTATCAGTCACCGGGTCGAGGTCCTCGAAGCTGGTGTAGGGGCTGTCATGGGGTGTATCCTTAGGGGCATTCTCGATGCAGATCTCACATGGGCATCGAGGCAGTGACTTGGGGAGATGGTCCTTGCTTGGTGGTGGTGCTGGGCGGCGTGCGCCTGGGAAAGTTCGATGAGGCGGAGGAGGTGCCGCAACCATATCGTTGTTGTAGTTGGAGTACTTGCTGAAGCCCTCAGCATCACAGATGACACGGCCACACATGAAGCCAGTCGGCCCGCTGGCCAATCTACTGCCTGAGCCTGAAGTGACAAGGAAACCATCATACTCCATGTAGGCTGGCCCCTTGAGGAGGTCCCAGTAGAGTTTTCCTTCAGAGATGCACTTCTCTCTCATAGAGCGGCCGCCCTGTGCCTTCAGGTCTTCTTTCCAGAACCGGGCTGGGACAACAGGCAGACTGCTGATTGCCTGCTCCCCGTGCCAGGGGGGCACAGAGAAGGTATCCATGAAACGCTCAACCTTGGAGCCATTAGACTCCAGATGCCAAGCATGCACCCTGTAGTAATTGTAAGAGGGATAGATGTCATCATTTCCTTGGATGTTGCTGATAACGTAGGGTGTCCAGATATCGAAACGCTTTGCATAAACGACCTCTCCCGGCTTCAAAAGGAGCCAGAAGTACTCGAATGTAGCGACGGGGACCTGTCTCTTATGACGGTCCTCCTCACGGCTGATCTCCTTACCGTTGGCTTCGTCTAGGAATGATAAAAGGATGTCGATATGCTTTGCGGTGGTGGCAGCGTACTCGGGTGTGTGAGAGGCTGGCTGGTTATTACGGTAGTGAGCCAACTGGTCACGATGATGGTACAATGCGCGATAAGGAGCAGGAATATTGAGTTCCTTGTCGGTTAGCCTTGCGTAGGGATAGTATGCGACAACAGCCCTGAGGGCGTTTCTCAGAGGCTCCGAGTAGATCTTCATGAGAGGCTCTGTTGTCTCAGGCCCCCGAGAGTTCCTAGGTTCAACCTCATCGAACTCAGAGTTGTACTCATCGACTCCATACTCCGCCGCGTCGAATGCCGCAGTGACTGGGCGGCCACCGCCCTGAGCGCGGGCACGATACGGGGCAGGGGCTCTACGACCAGGGGGCATTGGACGTGTGCCTCGGCGAGAGCTCGTACGAGAGTAGACACTGGTCACGATCTCCAGGACTGGACGCTCAATAGGCCCAGAGTCAGCATCCAAGTCGGTATCGGCATCATCATAGTGATTCTCGGGAATCTTCTTGAAAGCAGTGGCGCTGTATCGACCTGCGTATGAGTTAGTCTTAAAGTGACCTTGCAGTAATGAGGGAAGGACGCTTACTGCCAAGGATGGAGTTGTCCCACTGGTTGATATATTCAAGAGTGTGAACTACGTCGGGGACCTTGCCATCGATCTTGAATGGTTCTTTGGCCGCCCTGAAGCTCTTTCGGCGGCGGTAAGAGCGGCGCCGGGAGACAGAGGAGACGGAGGAGGCTGAATCAGATTCGAAGCCATCACGGCCCCCATGGCGAATTACTTGAATATCAGAGGCGACCGACATGATTGTGATTTTATATATTTGATGGGTTGAAGATATTAAGAAGCAGAAGAAAAGAAGAATAAGACGAAAGGTAATAAAAGGCTGGCGAGTGTATAATTTGTATAGATCAAGGTATGTGGTTCAGGTGAGTTGATGAGTTGATGATTCGAAACCAACTCTGGATGAGGAGCAAGGGAGAGCAACACCAGACTAAAGGCAAAGAGGGAGGAGGCTTTAAGTAATTGGGTCAACTAGCTTGACATATCACTGAAGAATTCCGACTCTCGTAAACCGTACAAGGCCCTCATCAAGCCTTCGTTATCCACATGGGCAGGCAACCGTGCCACCCAAACACTCAAGATCACGACAGGAAATGCGGCGGTGTTCAGCCCAGCAAGGGATCTAGCGTCTGCATATCGGCGAATGAGAGGCCGGCAATCCTGGAGGAGTGCAGGTTGATGCATCCAATGCATCACCATCCATGCAGGAGCATGGCAGAGCAAAATGTGCCGGCTCCCATTGGGGGCCACTGATTTGCATTTTCCGAGCTGAACCCGTGCTATTTTGATGGCCAAGATGCAGGAAATACAACCTTCAAGCAGTCGACGCTTCCCAGGCCGAGGGCATCACCGCCGTCATCATCATTATCACCACCACACCCTTTCCGAAAGCCATGAGGCATCTCGCTAGGCAGAAGCGAGGATTGAGTGGCTGCAGGCTGCGGCTTGTGACTCAGGCAAACGAGATGCTCTAGTTCCCAGACGGTCTGGCGACCCCGCAGCGAGGCCTCATTGTGCCTCAGCATTATTGGTAGCATCACCCATGCATATTGATATGCTCCACCTTTTGCCTTGCATGTTCATCAGGACTGCTGACAGGCAGCCCTAGTTAGCGCCTCACTGGCTGCATGATTGGTGTAACAGCCTCCAGCAAGTAAGAATCGAAGAGATAGGCTTCGGAGAGTTAGACACTTGACGGTGGCGTTGGTGGATTGAGGCGAAGCCAGCTTTTATGATAATACGAAAGACGGCCTGTTGGGCTAGCAGACCTACTACAGTCATCCCCAACAGCATTTACTCTGGACAAAGTACTGGAATATCCTCCATGTCTCATATTACCCGTGGTCGGAATATGACTGCGTGATTCTTCCTTGGTAGAAAGTCGGGAAACGGAAACGGTCACGAGGCTTGGGAGAACGACGACTGGCTCCGGGCCTCTGACACGGCTCCTTTGGGAACTTCGGTAATACGTGCTATGCAGTAAATAGTAAGATGACGGGTCATAAACCAAGGTTCAACGTGGGAAACGGCAATTCGTTGCAAGACAACATACACAATATGAGGGGTATCAGGCCATGGACAGAAGCGGCCAAGTTCTCACCTCTGGAAACATTGCAGCAGCATATCTGCATTATTAATCCATTCATTTCGGTCGTACATACCAAACGCCAAATGTCGGGAATCGTCACATGCTTGGACCCGACCCGATTTGTGCCACCACCCATCTGAAGAGAACTCCGACTCCGAAGTCTAAGCTCACTTGCTTATATGTTGTTCCATGCATGCAGAACATTGCAGGCCACATCCCGGGAAGCTCCTTGATCACCGACTCGCTCGTCGTATGCCTGAGCTCATGTTACTGGCGTGTGCAAGAAGGAACTTGCAGCAAGTCAAGGTAAGCTTGCACGCCTTTGTCCACCCGTCATCCTGCGCAATGCCGAGCTTGATGCTCACGTCGGCGATCTTGTCCCCCTCAATCTTGTAAGGCAGGCTTAGAGAATTCCCCGTAGCTTCGGTTTGCCCTTCCACATGGACGCCTAGTTGCTTGACCAACTCGAGGAAAGCAACCATGGCGTTGTCAAACTTGCGATGCATGAATGTGAGCCCAAGCGGCATGTCCCCCGAGCTGTATAACTCTAAAACGTGCTTCTTTGGGGCTGGTTGCGAGCTCTTTGACCCGATCCTGCTTGATGATGGGCTCATGTTTTCATACCGAATAATCTTCGATGTGCTGCCTAACGGCTGTGGCTGGAGACCTTGGAACTCATAATTCAATTTTTCCGCAACAGTTACGAGCAGTAACAAGGCGTGGCCCCATGCTGCGTTGATCTCGGGCCAGTCCACCGGCTTGTTCGAAAGTCGGCCCAGCCGCAGCCCGTTAATTGTCGCAAAGCTCCCATCGTGACTTATACAGAATGTGTCGTTGTAAACGTTTGACCGCTGTAGCTGGTCTAGAAGCTGCGAGTCATGGCTGTACTTGACGTTCACACTATCCCGCTCCGACTGGAAGTCTGCCATGGCCGCGGCAAAAGCATTACGTTCCCTCCAGAACTTGTCCTCTTCCAAATCAAGCTGCCTTGACTCCTCCTCCAGTGCGACTATCTCGGCGTCCAGTGCATCTTTTTCTTGCTCCAACTTTTTCAAGTCTTGTAAAGCAGCGTTCTTGTCCTTCTCAGCCTTGGCTAGCGCCTCCTGCTGTGCTTTTACGTCCGCTGCATTGGGCTTCTCTGCCATGACTTGGCGTAGGTGCCGAACGTATATATCTCTCTCTTTCGTGGCGTCTTCTACTTTCTTCTGGAGGCCGTCTACGAGCATTTCAGTGCACTCGACACATATTGGATGATCGATATCGGATCTTGAGGAGAGGACCTCGAACAGACGATTAATCCTACTCATCTCGTCTCCTCTTGGCTTGCTTTGGCTCTCTGCATCGTTCCTCGCGGCGTTCGATCGCTGGGGAGCTGGGACTGGGGTCGGACTTGAGGGAGGTTCAGGCTGGAAGGAACCTGGATGATTTACTTGAGATTCGGTAAGATAAATGAACGACATCGAGTTATCGCGGGGACCGCTGGCTTGGTTTCGTTTAAAAGTCGGCTGGCTGGCACTTTGCGACACTTGGTCATACAAGGACTTTCTGGGTTGCGCCTGGGCATCGTTTCTTGAAGGTGTGATGGTCGGTGACTGTGAAGGCGCCTGGGATGTAGAGGAAGCTGCGTCGCATTGGGTAAGCATACGCTGAGAGCAAAGGTCTTTGTGTGCTTGACTCACAAACAAGAAGTCCGTAGGCTGCTGGGTTTAAATCTTCGAGGGAGCCATCAAGCCGGAGCGGCTGGCGGCACTGCTGGCAAAACATCGTGTGCGCGGAGCCAAGCTACTTAGCCCAAGCTTGGGATGGAAAAGATGCACATATGCAGTTGTATGCTCGCGACGGAAAGTAAGGGGGAAAGTCAGACCGCTTCGTGGCAACAAGGTGACGGAGTTGAATCTGCTGCATGAGACGATGCTTAACTAGAGCGAACTCAAGCTGCTGATAGTGTGCCTGCTTGAACTGCCCCACGACGATGGAGGGTGTGACGTTGGGCAAGGACAAGTCCTCGAAGCTCCAGGCCCCATCAGTGGGTGATCTTGCTTAATCAGGAGGTACCTGCAGGGTCCCCAGGCGGCTCTTCAGGGCCCACCAATGAACAAGGCCCCTGTGTCGTAGCACTGGGCCAGCTACTTTTCAGTGTGGAGCAGTGTAGTACAGGCTGGAGTCTGTTGCCGCTCCAACCAGCCATATGTGGGATAGTTTCAACATTGACAAAGATGCATGGCAATGGCTCGAGATTTCTGCACACGGTGCAACAATCGTTGTTCTGAGGCATGCCATGCATCTCTTAGTCCTCTACCTTCAGAATCGAAATTCGAATTGCTCTCGGCCCCGGAACATAAACACGGGCAGCCATGGAGCCGCCGACAAACCGATTCCGGCTGGCGCAGCTGATTGCTGAGGGAGCGCAAGATGAGGATGGCGACGAGCTCAATTTCCAACCGCACGAGGTTTCCGAAATGCGCGATCCCGATGTGCAGCTTGCCAAGAAGCGCGAAGCCGTTGGCAACAGATTCCAAGCTGCCATGTCCAGTATATTCGACAAGTATGGCCGCGATTTCGAGGATATCGGGGACGAGATCGACTTCGAAACCGGCGAGATCGTGGTTGACAACGGACATCTCGCTAATATGCGATATGATGGGGATATAGGATCGCCTGACGGCTTGGAAACGGCACAGAGCGACGGCGAGGAGGAGGAGGGGATCTTATTGGAGGACTGGCAGAGCGAAAGTCATGCCAGCGACGACGGCTCTGTTAGGGACGATGAAGCGCCTGCCTTGCCCTCAAAACCGCTTCCGGCTCCGAAAGATACCCCAAGCGCACCGGCAAATTTACAAGAATTGGCTCCCATGGGCGGCTATCCCTGGAATTTCGGGCCTCCTCCATCATTCTGGGGACCAAGTCCAAATACTGTTCCATTTTGGCCTTTTCCCTATGGCCAGCAGCCACCCCATTTCCTTGGACAGCCTGGGGCGGCTTTCCCTTCGCCTGGCCAGCATCCCGCGATGCTACCTTTCACCAACTTATACCCCCCTTTCATGTCTGCTCCATTTGGTTCGCTACCTACATCAATTTCCGGGCCTGGAGCCAACGCATCCTCCCTACCCCAATCCCAGCCAAAGAAGCGTGTACAAAAGTCGCTATTTACTTCACGGTTTTCTTCAAAAGGGAAGAGAAAAGACCATACGGAGGAAGCAAAGGATGAACCAGCAAATAGCGACTCGCAGAACGTGCAGCCAGCGCAGGAATCCAAGTACATAACAGATGACGAGGATGAGCTGCTCTCAGAGCAATATACGATAGCTCCCCAGAACAAAGAATCAACCGAAACCGAGGTGGTTGAAGAGCCCGCCACGACCTCTATCGCCAGTCCTCCTGCTGGCTCTAATTCAACTAGAGACGAAACTACGGGTACTCAGGACAGAGTGTCTGTGGAAATCCCAGAAATATCAGAACAACGGCGGAAACAATACAGACATATATCAATGGAGAAACATAACTCTGTGCTCCCCACCCCCCCAACATCAGTGGTTGATACATCCGATAGCGATGGGGATAGAAACACCCATAAGCTGAGATGTGAATCTCCACCCCAAGATTCAGATAGTGCGACAAGGCCTGGAGAAGATGTGGTTCTCGACGATGAGAGCCAGACTCTGGAAGATACCAAGACTCTAGAGGGTTTGGTAGACCATGAGATGTCAGGCTCTGAGGCCGTGGTCAACCGTGATATGCCAGGTCCTGAGTTGGTCTGCGCAGAAACAGAGGAAAAAGACGCCTCCCAAGGAGGTAATACTATCAACGAACACGAGAGAAGCAACGACATCGATGAAGATCATACCCGCATCAAGTCTGAGGATAACACGACAGATCTATCACTACTTCAAACGACCACCTATGTACATACACCATCGGGGCCACTTTCACCTCCAAGATCTACTGGCAATCGAGATTCCTCAGCTGACAATGAACTTCCACTCTCCTCGATATCGGAATCGCCTCCTAAACAACCAATTGTTTCTCAGGGCGCCAAACTACCAAGAAACCCTGAGATGATGTATATTTCACCTACAAAACATGTCGAACAGACAGGCACAAAACACTCACCTGTCAAACCCCCAAGTGATCGAGGCTCAGCAACTCCCCACAGAGTATCCAAGATGCCACTTACTCCTCGACATGCACGAACTTCAACCATTAGAACTCCGTCGACTCGCCGGTCCATTTTGTCCCTTCTCTCGGACGAAGAGGAGGATGAGATGCTGCTCAGCGAGAAGCACGCGGTCTCTATACCAAATCTCTTTAGCTCATCCCGTCGAAAGAGGGGGAGGTCCGACAGGCACAGCAGGAGGTCGGGGATTTACGACACGCCAACTAAGAAACGCCCAAGAAAAGACCCGCCGCCCAAGGCCACCAGTTCGACACAGGCGGTGTGCGGTGTAGATAATTATCGGTGCGGGGGAGACTTTTGCTTCAACTGCTTGGCAGACTGATGAAAGGTATAGCATTTATGTTGGTTGATGGATGTAGGCACTTTGCGTCAGGTATTGGGACTTTGCATGTGGGCGACATCAATGGTAATCTTATATAGCTGTATCGGGAACAAGGAGCATGTCACAACGCTGTAAAGGACGTATATTAATAGCTTGTCTATCTATTAATACCATGACCCTCCTACCACCCCGAAATAGAGAAAATAAAAGGAAAGCATCCCCTCATACCTCTGCAGAACCCTGACGCCGCAAGAACTATCGAATTGCCGTGGAACGCCAAAATCAAAACTCGTAAAAGTCAGCTGGTGTGGGTTGTTATTCGAGTAGGGTAAGGTGCCTTGGTACAGTTACTCAAGGCGTGTCTCGACTCGGGAAAGATTCGAAAGCGCCGTCCCAGCCCACATGCCCTCAGCATTAGCGGTCTCATGATCCTTCCATACTTCGCGCGCGCCCACCCCCTTGAGACCTCCTAACACAATTCAAACTGTTGTCCAACCAGGGTCATCGAGTTCCCCCACATCGAAAGCTCGGGAGTCTCGTCTCGACGCTTCATCGTCGATCACTTCATCGCGGGAGGGCCTTGGATTAGGTAACCTCAGGGTATCATCAGATGATGAAGATCCAAAATCGAGCGGGCGGGCGGCAACGGCGGCATACTAATCCGTCATATCTACCTAAGCCTTGGCTGTGCTGACGCCGGCATTTGCCAAGTTCTGCTTGAAAACTTCCGGATCACGGACAGGGTTGAAATATGGGTGAGCTTGGGCCTCCTTGGCAGTCAGACGTTCCTGAGAAAGCAGTCAGCATATGGCAAAGGGAGAGAATGTTTAGGGGGGGGTATGTACTTGATGGTCATAACGCAACAGCTTGTCAAGGAAATCGATGGCTTCGTTAGAGACAAATCGCTGGTTCTCCGCTGTCACAAAGCTGTGCCAAGGCTTCTTCTGGAAGTGGCCCAGGATGTCATCGTACTGAGCGTCCAATTCAATCTCATACTTGTCAAGGTAGTCGAAGAGGTCGTCGGTTCCGAGGACCTTGGCAATCTTGACAAGCTGATCCGAGTTGCTGTTGCCGTGGAAAAAGGGCTCTTTCCGGAAGATCATGGAAGCGAACATAGCTCCCAGACTCCACATGTCGAGGCTGTAGTCATACTCTTGGAAATCAACCAGAAGTTCAGGGCCTTTAAAGTAACGGGAGGCGACGCGGACGTTGTACTCGGTGCTGGGATGGTAGAACTCTGCCAAACCCCAATCGATAAGACGCAACTAGGTGAGCGTTAGCATTCAGCCATTTCCCTGTTTTCCCAATTGCCAATGCCTCTCATACCTTTCTGTTCTCATGATCGATCATAACGTTATGAGGTTTCACGTCTCGGTGCATGATGCCCTTGCTGTGGCAGAAGTCCAGTGCCTTGAGTAGCTCCAGAATGTAGAAACGAACGTCAATGTCGCTGAACTTGGGGTAAAGGCTCCGAAAATCGGTGTTGTTAACATGCTCGAAAATGAGAGACGGCGTCTTGCTCTGTCAAGAAAGAATGGTCAGCGTTCTCCTCGCGCGCGATGACCAGCGGACTCAAGGGAGATCTGCGCAACAAGCATACCTGTGAATCTCGGACAACGTCCAAGAGAGCAATAACGTTAGGGCCCCCAGCCAAATTTTGCAGGATTTTGATCTCTCGCTTAATCTTCTTCTTCTTAACGGGCTTTAGAACTTTGATGACACATTTCTGGTAGTTGACGACGTTGATACCCTCAAAAACCTCGGAGTATTTGCCCCGGCCTAAAGTGGGATTAGCAATTGGCAGTCTCATAGCAGAATCTCGCGCCTAGGAGATCCTGGCCGGTGGTGCCAACCAAGATTGCGAGACGAAAATTTCCAAAGACAAAACCTACCGATCTTCCTGACAACTTCGTAGTTCTCGAGAACACCCCAACCTAGTTGCGGGGTTAGCCTCAGATCCTGTCCCAGCACATGGCACCATCAGGCATCGCTGACAACGCGCATGAGCGGCATCAGCCTGGGTGTCAAAACTTACTGATATTGACGCTATCATAGTCCCAATAGCTCCGGGGCATGTTCTGGTTCACATCGGCGTAGACGCGCGCCATTTTGTCGGCCGAATGGGGTCGCACGACCACCAGCAAGAAAGTCTTTCGAGGTGCGAAATTCCGACGACGGCGACCGCTTGTGGTGTCGGACCGGCGCGATGGACAGCTCTCGGGTCACGAGGAAGCGACTTCGTGGGGTTGAATGCCCTGGCTATCGATGCTTGTCGGGTTGTGGGAGGTTGAGTTCTGGGCTCGAGGGGTGCCCTTTGGATGGCTGCGGTGCCAAGTACGACTGTCTCTGTGCTATTCCGAAATCCAGGCCTTGACGCCTTGTGATTGTGGGCCAGCTCCTCCTCACCTCAGATGGCGGGGAGGGGCTGGGTGCTGGTACGTACCGCTCACTGGCCCCGCCCACCGCCCGCCGACACTGGTTGCCGATAGACTGAACTCAAAGTGACACCGAGGCTCAGGCATGTATCGTTGATTGATTGTTTCAGTAATTAATAGTTTTATCTACCAGGGGATGATATGTGCCTATCAATGCATTATACCACCAAATTCTCCTTCTTTTCATCCCCTTTCCTTTCCTTGCATGCAGCCCAGAACACCACAAGTCCATTCTCTTAGATTACGGTAAGTCTGGGTGAATGACACAAATGCCTAACAATACACCTGCAATTCGCTTCCGGTGCGCTGGCCCGTTAGCATGGATTGTGTGATCCGTTGTCAGATGATACAAAAACATGAAAACTGCTGACGTTAACAGAGCCGCATGGCCATCCTCGTCAGTTGTTCCATGACTTTGAGCGGGTCTTGATTTGATTCTAAGCATCATGTCAGCACAAGCCATTTGCGTTGCCCGTATGCAGTGAATTCATAATATGACAATGTGTTTCAGAGAGAAGATTATATTTCTCGTCATCTCAAGACCACACGGCATCCTCATCACCAGGTGATGCCTCCTCTGCCTGTGTTCTTGATCCGCATCAAGACGATACAAGTTTTCATCATAACATAGATAGGAAGTAGGGAAGCGTAATTAGTACAGAGAACCATACATACCAGCATTTTAGAAAGGGTCTTTTATGATGTGGCACGCACATGGCGAACTGTGCCAGCGCCATACATGACATGCTCAATCGTAGTCAAGAGAATCAAGACCCTTCTCAACAACATCCCAGGTCCTTTTTCTCAAATCAGGCTTTGGTTCCGCTGGTTGGCGCTTGGTTCCTTTCTTCTTCTTCTTATTCCAGGAGCTTGCCGCCGAGGGCGATGGTTGGGAAATGCTTCCTTCTCGATGGTGTGCCAGATCATCTCTCAGCGGTGACGGAACTTCTTTCTTTTTGTTCTCTTGCTTTATCCGCTGCCGACGAAGTTCCTGTAATTCAGAGTGGCGGAAGATCTCAATTTGCTCGTCGGTCAAGGTGCGCTTCACGCCATCCTCGTAATAACCTAGGTCATCTTCAACTTCTTCCTCCCATCCGCCGAGTAGTTCAGGATTTGCGAAAGTATGCGCTCCATCAGAATCAAGAAATTCTATCCCAAATTGTGACACGGCCTCTTCCGCAAAGTGTTCTTGAAAGAAGGCTGCAAAATCATCCTAAAGCAAATGTTAGGAGTGCGTTGACACCAACATGTAGGCAAGATTTGACTTACGCTTGAGACCGCTGGCAATTCTAGCGCGGTGGGATTGGAATGATTTAAAGGAGTTCTATCCTTTGAATCTCCCATTGTCGGATACCAAATCCAGGTATGCCTGGCTATGACTGTCTGAACCAAGTGGGATCAAACAGGCGCGGCTGAGAAGAAAAAGTGGAGTGCTATCTTGGGTAGGCATATCACGTGCTTTTGCAACTGGCCATCCAGCCAGAGCCAACTGGAAGCGACCGTTGTGAATTGTGACAACTCCCCAGAGGATAATCAAACCTACCATGCAGGCGAGTTGGGGTTAAATCCTAGCCATTGAATATCTCTCGAGGAAATAGAAAGGCATCATGCCGATCGCAAGAGTGCTAGGGCGCTTTCAAATGCACGTAATACATCCTCGTCTTGTTGGCTCCCTGTTAGTCTTGGGAGCTCAGATGGATTTGCTTAGAATGACTTACAGTGCTGTTGTTTCTGTGCCATTTTCTCCTCCGATATATTGACGAAGCGTCTGCGTGTCTGCAGCCGCTTGGCAGCGCGCTCGTCATCGTGGCTTGAGGCAGCTGCTGCCCAAGTGCGGAAGTACTGGTTCCATCCACTCAATATGCCAAGATCACTTGAATCGGTGCCAACATATGGAACGGGACTTACTTTGGAAAGATTTTCAGCTTCCTTAAAAATGTCTTGCTCAGCTTGACCCATTTCGCGCAATGCCTCTTCGTAGCGTTTTTCAAAATCTTCCCAATCAAACGATGGCGGCATTTCGGGAAATTCAGGCTCGGAGGAGGACTCTTTCTCTATGCGCTTCACCTCCAATGGGGGAGTCCTGGCCTGGCTCAGGGATGGATTTTGGGTGTTCTTCACCGACGTGTTGTTCGTCTGAGATGAGGACTTGGGCTCAGTCCCATTAGGGGATCCTTGCGGTGAATCCATTTCAGATGAGTGTATAATTAAACAGAAAAAGGCACCAAATCGTTCGCTGAAAGCTTGTGCAGCGTGATAATGCTCATGTAGGCGAGGAACGCGAGAGCTTGGGAACTTAACGCGTCTTGTCGTCAAATGGGTACTCAGTACCGAGCCCACAATGGCAGGCACCACGCGCCCGTGCTCCTGCCTTCCTTGCTTGCTTGTCTTGACCTGATCCGTGCCCGTTAGTAATCCGGCAAGTGCCTTGTTGGCCCTGTCTGTGGTACGTCATGCAGATCGAGCCACGGGAAACAGCTGCGAAACCGATCATTACACGACAGCTTATCAGCATGTAGTCTGTTCAGAATAAGGCGATGTTTTCTAGGTGTTGAGAGACTGCTTAGAGCCTGTTGCCACCAGAAAAGTTTAAAATTGCTACCAAAATTCAACAGAATGGTCAGCCTTGTTTCAGAGAGATACATGTGTAGCCAGCCACGGTAGTGAATTTCAATACGTTCCTGTAGCCAGCAAATGCGCTTTGGTTGGATGCAAATGCCCTATGGCATCCTCAAGTCACGCAAACGATTTAATCCAGCAATATGATTGCTGTTTATCACACAAGGATATTAATTATTATGTTCATCTGATCCGTTACTTTATTTAGCGCTCAGCGCCACTACGGAATAAGGTAATGGCCTGTACTGCACTGGTGGCAATGAAGCACTGCACTGACCTCCAGCGCTCTCCTCTACTAATCCATTGCCGCCTACAAGGCTCCAGCCAAGGTTGAATCTTGTGACCCAAGTCATCAGCCTCCCCCACTGACTTGACGACTTCCATCTCGTTATCAAACGATCTTCTGTGCTTTTCAGAGACGGCTATTCTCACACATCTGTGCTGATCTTGCATCCGCTTCAGATGAAGTCCGTGGCCTTCTCACGTTCCGCTTGTACATCATAATCTCAGAGACTCAGCGTCCCGCACATATCACAGTCCCCCAGTTCCCTCAAGTCCCGTCTCCCAAATGGAGTGTGATATCTGCCACCGGGGCCACGACCCTGTGCGGCAGCCCTTTCTTTGCGCCGTCGATGCAAGGAACCAGCTTTATCAGGGGCGTCTGAAGAGCGTGCAGCTTCTCATGGAGAATGAGGAGCTCCGGAATCAGATACGCGGCGCAATAGACAACCCCTCGGATACCACATCGCTCGCCTCGAGCGTAGCCCAGTCAAAGAGAGTCACTGTTGAGGGCGAGACTTCCCGGATCCTAGAGGCCGCAAATAAACTACGAGATGAAATCAAGGCCGCCAGGGATGAGATCCAGGCAAGGAAAGCGACTATCGCACGCAGGAGATCCGACCTTGCCACCGCATCAGAAGGTCTCACGGGCCGTCGCTCCAAGCAACAAAAGGAGTTGGAGAAAGCCTCTCAAAGGCTTAACTATCGCTGGTCACAAAGCGCCGAGGACATGTCAACAACAAGAGCATTTCTTTACGCTGAGGCCGCCGATCTTTATGGACTGCGACGCCTGAGTAAAGACAATCCAGAGTACGAACTTGGCAGGATACCTGTGGTGAATTTGCTTGATATGAACTGTAAGTCTAGATACATGCTTCCACATTCCTCTCTCTCTTCTTTCTTTTTTTTTTTTTGGTTCTGTTTTTATGATCTGCTTTTCGGATCCTTTTTGGATCCTTTCTTGATCTGCTTTTTTGATCTGCTCTTTTGATCTGCTTTTCGGATCCTTTTTGGATCCTTTCTTGATCTGCTTTTTTGAGCTGCTCTTTTTGATCTGCTTTTCGGATCCTTTTTGGACCCTTTTTTGACCTGCTTTTTTGAGCTTTTTTGCTCTTGTTTTTTTTTTGTTTTGTTTTTCCATTGCCAGCTGACACAATACAAGCCCTTGAACCCGAGTATATCACCACCTCCCTCGGCCATATTACACACATCGTCATGCTGGCCTCGTATTACTTCGCCATCCGCCTGCCAGCCGAGATAACTCTCCCACATCGGGACTACCCATATCCCACAATCAACACCATCATAAGTTCATATCAAGGCAAAATTCCCACATTCCCAGGATCCTCCCTGTCGGCACCGCCGAGTACAACAAGCCTCGAAAACGGCTCCAAATCCATCCCAAGAGCACGCCCGCTCTACCTTCACAAACCACTTCCACAACTCCTCAGAGACGACCCCACCGCCTATTCCTTCTTCCTTGAGGGGGTCTCTCTGCTCGCATACGATGTTGCCTGGCTGTGTAATTCACAGTCGATTGTTTTCAGTGGCCAGAATGTGGCCGACGACATTTGCCAAATGGGTCGCAATTTGTATAATCTTCTTGTAGAGTCTCAGGCCGCTGTCGCTGCGGGTGCAGCGGCTACCAGAGCGGCGCACGACAAGTCCGGTGCGAAAGATCGCGAGCCAAAGCCTGAAGCCAGTTGGCTGGGTCGCTTCTCGCACGGGACCACCTTCTATCATCTGACATCTTCCGAGGGCAATGACCTTGTCAAATCGTTCAAGCTTCCGAGCCCCGTCAAGGTGGTTGATAGGTTGAAGAAGAAGCTTGTTGGCGATGCCCCGGCTCCGGATTGGGAGGTGTTGGATGATGATGCCTGGAAGGTTGAAGATGCCTTTGGCCAGCCACGAGCTGACCAAGGAAATGGTGTTGAAGGGAAGCCCAAGTCTGTTGGTTCATCCAAGGGGTGGATGAAGGTGAAGTAGAGATTTGTTGGGTCCCGGGAAAACACCATAAAAGTCATTGGTTCAGAGACCGAATTGAGGGCCTGTGTTTGATGACTGTAGCTCGTCAATTTAGGGCCAACCATCTAGTGAGAGTCGTTAAATAGACAGTAATGATAGGTTGTTTCCCATTGACTTTGAGCATTTTGAGTCTGGTAGCTTGACTCGAGTTTCCGATTCGCATCGTAAGCAGGGTTATCTGCCTTCATGTGAGATGAAGGCTCCCTGTGAATTCCTACCGCAGTGTATCGCGGTCTTGTTTTGCGCATTTGTACCTCAGAGTTTTGGCAAGTGAATCTCGTAGAAGCTGAGATTCTTTCAATGAGGTACGCGCTGTGAATGATCCGGACGTGAACCATTGCACCCGTGCCTCACAGTTTTGGCAAGTGAATCGTGGAGGATTCTTTCAGTGAGGCACGCTCTGTGCATGCTTTATACCAACCATTGCGCTTGTGCCTCACAGTTTTGGCAAGTGAATCTCGTAGAAGCTGAGATTCTTTCAGTGAGGCACGCGCTGGGAATGATTCGGACGTGAATCATTGCACTCGTGCCTCACAGTTTTGGCAAGTGAACCTTTGAGGGTTCTTTCAGTGAGGCAGAGGAGCTGGGCATGCTTTTGAACCAACCATTGCACTTTGTGCCCTCACAGTTTTGGCAAGTGAATCTCGTCGAGGCTGAGATTCTTTCAGTGAAGGGCACGTGCTTGGGCATGGGCTTGTTGTGCTGATCTTTGCACTCTTGCCTCACAGTTTTGGCAAATGAACCTTTGAGGGTTCTTTCAGTGAGGCAAGTTTCGAGTATTGGCTTCTGTGCTGATCATTGCACTCCTGTCTCACAGTTTTGGCAAGTGAATCTTTGAGGATTCTTTCAGTGAGACAGGCGTTACGTATGGGCTTTTGCCGATACGAAGCCGATGCCGGTCGGTTCGGTTGTGGAATTCATGATGCGAAATATATTCGGAGGTAAGTGGTCCAGGGAAACTTGAGAATGGTTTTTGTTGTCCCTTTGCAGACCGTGTAAGTTTATGCTCAGCGGGGGCCCAACGAAGTCAGTTCATCTAAGGATTGATGAAGGTGAAGTCATTTCTTGGAAGTAGGTGGTCCAGAGAAGTTTGAGCGTGGTTTTGTTGGGCCCTTGGCTGAGCATGAAACTTGGGGTTGTTGGGAATCTCAAGGCAGTCGGTTCATCTGAGATTGATGAAATTGGAGATTGAATTTGGAGATGTGAGATGCCGATGCCAGGTCAGTTGAGGTTACTTTGGAGGGCCTCGCGTTGGCCATAAACATATGTGTTGAGATAAGTCCCAGGGCAGTCGGTTCATTTGAGATTGATGAATTTGGAGGTATTAGATGCCGACGCCAGGTCAGTTGAGGTTATTTTGGTGCGCCTCGTGCTGACCGTTGTATTGATTTGGATCCCAAGGCGGTCGATTCGTTTAGAGATTGATGAAATCGAAGGTGTTTGGTGCCAATGGGAAGTTGAAGCTTGAATTGGTTTGAATTTCAAGGCAATCGGCTCATCTAGTGATTGATGAATGAGATGAAGAGTTATCAGATGCCGATTGCCTGGAAGTTGAGGCAGCTTCATTAAGCCTCGTGCTGGTCAATTTGTGTGCATCTCAAACCCAAGGCGATCGCTTCATCGTAGTGATTTATGACGAAGATTGTAGTCGTATGATGACGATGCCTGGGAGATTGAGATTGCTGGTTCAATCCGCCGCGAGATATGAGGTTCTCGGACTAGATTGATGTGCTCTTTTGCCAGAAGTTGGTAGGGTTGTGTGGCATCGAGCTGGTGAAATATCACCCATTCTGGCATGATGACCTCTTGACGCAATCAAGATTTAGAGATTGTCGGTGCCGAATGAAGTCGTCAGCCACGAGCGTCGGAAGATCTGGTGGTTCGATTACGTCCGGATCGTGGCTGAAGATGTTTGCTCCTTTTTCGTTGGACACTCTCCCTCGTGTGTCCAGTATGAATCAAGAGCATCCCCCTGGGTTGAAAAGGTTTGGGTTGTGTCGGGGGATTTGCATTTGCATTCGTTGGTGAGCAGGCCATTGATTGTTGCCGCTAACCAAGGAAAGTTGTGCCTTTGGTTTGGAGCCCAAGGCGGTCGGTTCATCGTAGGAATTGATGAACACAAAGTATATTTTGGAAGTCATTGATAATGATGTTCGCCAAGTTGTTGGTTCATCGAAGGGATTGATGAATACAGAGTATACATTGGGAGGCGTTGGATAATTATGCCTGCCAAGTTGTCGGCTCATCGAAGGACATGCTGTACACAAAATATACAATGGAAAGCGTTGGATAATGATGCATTCCAAGTTGTAGGATTGTAGTTGAAGTAAGGATCAGGAGATATTGAAGGCTCTCGTGATCCAATGCCATCGCTGGCGGACTGGTTTCAGGCTCAGGATACCATTGCCAGTCGGTCTCGTCGCTGCGCGGTTCAATGCAAGACAAATAGATACATCGGACGCAAATAACGATGTTCAGAAAGTCGAGTGTGTATTTGCTGAACCACGCGCTGACAAAAAAAGAACGAAATACCCGCGAGATGAAGTATAAGAATGTCGGTTCATCTTGGGGGCGAACAGAGGCGAAATAAACATGGTTGTACAGTCGGACCAAATGATGTTTTGAAACAAAGAATACTGTCGGTATATCGAAACAGAAGAAGTCAATCTCAAGCTTCTTACAGATGTCGTACAGAAGATCTGACACAGAAAAGAAAAAAAGAATATCGCAGAAGAAAGAACGCGCTCTTTTTTTTTTGGGTTTTTTTGGGGGTTGAAGGATAGGTATGGTGCGATGCAATTTCTCCAGCGCGAGCCAGACAAATAATAAGCAACAGCAGCCAACTTCTCTCTCCATTTTTCTGTTCATTCTGATCGTACATCGTGTCGTTTCGTTCATACAAGGACGGGTCGTATTCATACATCGCGAGACCAGCTCAGCGGAATTTGGTCGTACAGTGGTTCGGTTCGTTCGTTCGTTCGTCGTACGAAGGGAAAGGTGTTCGTACAAGGGGGGGGTCTCCGTTTCTACTTGGAGGGCTTTGACCGTCGCGGCATCTGACTCGTCTTGCGACGAGCCATCTCCTCCGCCGTGGCGAGTCTCGGCTCCTCCGGGAGAGAAAGGTGCTTGCCGTGAGACAGAGGCACATTCTCGTCGTCGTAGTAGGCAGTGTCGACTGCCTTGGGCCGGCTGGTCTCTCCTACCATGCGGTCTACCAACTTGGTCGCCTTAGCTCCCGTGGTATCGGCCCCGGAAAACACAGTTGCTGGGTCGGCAGGCGTTGTTGACTCTCTAAAAGAAAACGTCGCGCTACTCAGATCCTGGAACTGGTTAAATAACGACGGAACAGGTGCTGTCCCAAGAGTGGCCGGCAGGTCTTGAGCGGCGGAGGGAGTAACCCCTTCCTGCTCGATCTCGTCGAACGCTGCATATAGGTCCGCCTCAAGTTGAGCATCCATGTCCAATTCGTTGTCACTGTCGCGAGCAGTTGCAGCGACGAGAGGCAATAGCATCTCGTAATCCGCACGCAGCTGTCGCTCAGCCTCTAAGGTTGCCGACAGATCAGGCTCGGCCGCGTCATCGTCTGGAGCTGCAGAGGGGAGAGGCTCGCGCTTCTCGGATCCCTTGAAATTAATTTGCAGGTCCTCCTCCAGGATGTCGAGCGGGTCGAGGTCGTCGGCGTGAACTGGGGCCATCACTCCCGGTTCACTGGTGTTGGGAACATTGAAGTTATCAACGCTGTGCTCCTCAACCTCGGCACTGTCCACCACCTGCTGAGGACCAGCGTCAACAGGGGCTTCTCTGGCTTCGGTCTCGGGCTTGGTTTCAATCTTCATAGCCAATTCTTCAAGGACAGGTTCTGGAGCTGCGGTCTCTTTCTCCGTCCCCGGTGGGCAGCTATAGCCACCCTCCAGCTCAGGATCAGATTCCTCTAGGATGGCGTCCAGATCTTGCAACACGTCTCCTGGTACTGGTGATTCCTCATCCGAGGCCCGAGTAACCTGAAGGGGCGCAAACGAGTCCAAGAAGTCTTGGTGGAGCACGAACGAGTTCGGCAAGGCTTGAGGGAGCACAAACACGTCCGTCATCTCTGTATTAGGTGATCCATTCAAGAATGGGCCTGCCACAGTGTCATCAGGGCGGTCTGGAAGCTCGATGTCCTCTTCGCCATTGCCGATGGATCTTTCCTCACGCATGCACTGATCTCCAGCCGGTTGGGTTTCTTCCCACTCGATACTCTCGTGAGAATGAATGGAAGCTGAATCCTCCAACATGGGGTCAGCTTCCACAACCGCCGGCAAAGGAGAAGAGGCACGGATTGGTATGTCCGTAAGCACGTTAGCCGCTTGGGGAATCTCGCCCATGGTGATGTCCTCCTCATACGAGAAGATCATCGGGTCCGATTCGAGAACGACCTCCCGCTGGGGAGCGTCGTGGGCCTGGCTTTCGTTCTGCTCCTGGGGCAGGGACACCACGGTCGACTCCGTACCCAAAGTGATCTCGCCCACTCCAGATTGGAGCTCAATGGCTGCAGGCTGGCTAGGACTAGCAACAGCTTGTAGCTGGGGAGTACTAATGGGTGTGGGTTCTTCCACGGTGGCCATCGCTGTCACGGGTTGAGACGCGAGCAAAAGCTCGTCCTCTTCCTGATCCAGACGATCAAGCACCTTGTTGGTCATCACCAAACAAGGCTCCTCTGCCCCGGTTCCCGGAACAACTGCGGTAATGTCCGTCTTCTGTTGTTCCTCTGTTGTCTGTGACGGTGTTTCCACGGTCAACACAACGGGCTCCTTCTCTAGGGGAACTTCCTCTGCTGTGCAGACTGGTTCCTTTTCGATGATAAGAGCTGCCTCCTCCGGGCGTACTGGCTCCTGAAGCGCAGCATGGGCCCTCGGTGAGGCACTCGTCGTTTCTTCAAGCTGCCTGGACAGTGCCACAGGTTCTCTCTGCGCCTGCGAAGCATACTGCTTGCATTTTGCTTCGAGAACTTGCTGCTGGGTGATGAGGTTCAGGACTTCACGCTCCAAACGCAAATTCCTTTCCCTCAGCTCCTGAGCTGGCTCGTCCAACTGGCGGCGGAGATCTTGCACCTCTATCTGCAACTGCGTCACCTTGTAATCGGCGTCAGCGAGTTGCGCGTCCTTTCGACGAATAATTCCGTCTACTTTGGACTCAAGCGATGAGATCTGATCGCCCAATGTTCCAAATGCCGTCTTGACATAACGAGTCAAGCCGTCAAAGGAAGCACGGAGCTTCGCCATCTCTGCCTGCGTGCCTGTAATCGGCATCTGCTTTCTCTTGCGGCGAAAATAGTCAAGATTAAGCGTTGCAGGGGTGATAGATCGTCGGGGAGAAGACGATCGGGAGGGAGACGAGGATCGGTAAGAAGAAGTTGGGTGACGAGGAGGCGATTGATGAGGCGAAGGAGGTCGGGAGTCCTGACCAGCAGGGACCTGAGAGACAGTGGCATCGGCACACTGCTCATCCTTCAGGTTGGAGGGTGATCGGCAATCCAAGGAATCAGTATCGAGGGACTCGTCCTTGACAGCGGCGTGAGCACACTGCAAGTCAGAGCCCGATCCCGAGGAGCCGCCTCCACCTTGCTCATTCGAATCGGCCGGCTGTTGCTGTGATCCCAGCTCGGGAAAGACAAGGCGAAAGCCATTGACGAATCCCTTGCGGAACACTGCGCGAGCGAGGGTGAGAGCCATGACGGCGGTCTTAAACCCATCACAAACAATCGAGAACTGAGCCGGAAGGCTCACGAAGTACCAGAATCGGAGGAGGTCGTCAAAACAACCATCCCAACCATCTGGACGTTCGTCCCACTGCATGTCCCAAGGTTCGTACACGAGTACTCCCCAAGGAACATACATCAGGTAGAGGTTCAGGATTGCCGAGAGCTTGAAGGCTGGTCTTTCATGTAGACCAAAGATCCACATGAAGAAGACCAACACAGTCCACATAAGGAACTGTGTCAACCGGTCGGCGTCGTACAGGGCCCAGTTGATCACTGGAAGAATGACCGATGGTATGCAAAAAATTGCAACCAGGCACTCGACCAGCGGCAACTTAGGGCCGCTCCAAAACTGCCAGAAACGCGACGCCACGGCATCCATGTTCACAAGGGACAGGTTGCTCATCGTGCCGGATCCGTTCAGAAGTTCCCAAAGGCCTACGGCGTTGGTTGCAACTGAGGAGTTGAGGAGAGAGGAGAGAGAGAGAGTGACTGCGAGGAGAGAATGCTTTTGGAAGAAATTGCACTGCGTGCAAGAGAGAGATGATTGCGTCGGCGACGGAAAGTGCGAATTGCTTCGAAAAGATTGCGGTAACTCTTGGTACGATGACGAGAGACTGAAGAAGAAAGAAGGAAAGAAAAACAAAAACAAGAGGAGGAGGAAGAAGTGCCCATTAAATAGGTCCCAGACGCGCCTCCAGCGGTGCAGAATCACTGTGAGAGAGACCTGAGCTTCTGAAAGATCTGAGCAAAAGGTGAGAAGCAGGTGAGAAGTGGGTGACTGACGGCTGTAAACGACCGTCAGGCGACCGCACAGGCAATGCAGCACAACTTTTCAGGACACAGTTATTCAAGAACGCAATAATGCATAGCACAACAGTGGCAGAGCCCAATAATTTCAGGTCATCAGGGACGTTTTCATTGTGTGTGAATCGGTGGGTGGTTGATTCGTTATTCACTTGGTTCCCCCGGTGATTCTATCAACCTGCGTCACTCAGATGGGCGCCTGCACCACTTGTTCACAAAACGCCATGAAATTAGCTGGACGTCCCGCAAACAATGGGCACTTGTCCGGATCTAAGGAATAATCGTAACCGTATGGACGGAATTAACTGTATCCGTCCCTTAGTTTTGAGAACTAAAGCAAACAAACGATGCACATGGGCAGGCTGCCCTTTGTGCAACAGTCGAGAGCCTCAGGGTCCACGCGTAACCTTTCTTGTTTGGCCTTATGCTTAATCGAATGGAATTTGATTCTACAGGATGTAGCTATTAAGCTTATATCAAAATGCCCCTCGCTCGACTACCCTGAACCATTGTTTTGATTCACAATAACTATCCTAGATACCTTCACGCCAAACTCCGACCATCCAAGCCCATCATCAATCATTATGGTATATGTAGTGAATAGAGTCTGAGTGTCTGAAAAAAAAATTGAAAATGAAACCAAGCAGAGACCCGATAATTACGCCTTCTTCCCCCTTGCAATGAGCCGCTCATGCAGCTCAACGGCAACGTCACTCCAAACCTCCTCTGGCCCCATCGTAACAGTTTCTCCAAGTTTCGTAGACAGAAACTCCCCGATCTTGGAGACGTTGAAATGCTCGCCGTAAATGACACGAGCTTCGGGGGAGATGCCCACCACGATGCCTTGTGGGCTGTTTCGCCCATGTAGATTTAGGATGACCTCGACACGGGTTGCCAGAGGCACCAGCAGCAATGAACTGCACACAGCCACACTTGTGTCGGAAGTCTTGGATACAGTCGTAGGGAATGAAGTGTTTACTCGCTTTATTTGCGACGACACTTTCGTGGCCTTGTCCCATCCCAATTGGACTACCCCCAGGACATCGCTAACTGTGGTTCGACCGGGAGCAAGGGTGCAAACATGATTGCGAATGCACTGAACAAAGAACTCTTTCTCGGCTGTACGCGGGAGGGGATCTGTATCACGGCTATCGGCAATGTACCACAGATCAATCTTGAGGCTTGTCGCTGAGCCACCAAATGCCGAAATGTCGAAAACAAGCTCGATTTCCCGTCGGTAGGTCATCGAAATCATGGTTCCCTTGATGCCGCTCACTGACCAGCCATGCTCAGCTTCGATCGCGTCAACTCGGGCTGACATTCATGTTAGCATACGCCAAATCTAAGGCATTAGAGTGTTCTTGCATCTCACCTTTAATTGCGTCAATCTCAGCGCTGGTCCATCCGCGGCATTCCTCCCGTATTTTCTCGGCTTCTTTGATATCTGAAATGCAGAGCTGCTTTTTCGTAGTCAAGGTCTCGACGTCCTTCTCTGAATCCTCATACAATTTTCGTAGCTCAGCAATCTGCTTTTTCTTGGCAGCAATGTCATGATCCAAACGGGAGAGGTCGTCCCGCGCAGCCTCCAACTCGCCAGGGTCACAATCAGCCAACTCCTGTGCAGCTTCTTCAAGATTCCGGGCTTGCTCCCGCAGCACATCGTAGCTCTCTACCCATTTTGGCAGGACAGAGCGGAGCAGGTTAGCTTGAGTCTGCAGAAATTTGTCATCTGTATCTAGGTCGTCCAGAATTCTGATCAGGCCTTCCTTGAGTCCATCTTGGAGTTTCATTCTCCACTCATACCACATGGCTTTGCTCAGCAGACGAGCGTGAGTCTTGACGTTTTTGAATTGGTTGTCCATGAGGGCCTTCACCTCCGGGGTAGCGGAAATATACTCGCGGAAGAGAGGCGGATTCTCTTCAAAAGTGTCGGTTTCGATCTCCTTAACTATCCGCCGACCTTCCGAAATGTACTTCTTGAGCTCTCGACAGGAGTGCTGATAGAGTTCGAGCGTGGGAACTGTGCATGCACCAGCCACAACACATCGCTCTAGAGATAGATCATCACGTCCGTCAGATAACGAGCCATCCTGTAGAATGCTGGGGGCAACAGTTTGGCGACGCTTCGTTGTTGTGAGCTCCATAAATCGGATTGAGGTCATGTTGAGAAAGTCCTGCAAGTGGAGACGATCCCCTGGTATCTCATCCTCCTCATCATTCTCGTCTGAATCCTGTCTCTCCAGGACGCTGGTGACTGTCTCGTCATCGATACCGCCGAAGCGCGTAACACGGACCGGGCTTCTTTGATTGCGATTCTTTGTCGGAGAAACCAGAGTCGGGGCAGTCTCCTCCTTCGAAGGGGGATTCTGAAGCCTGATGTTTTTTACAGGGCTAGCTTGATGATTTTTGAGCCTCTTGACTCCATCTTGCTCCTCCAGTTCAGCTTCCTCGTCAAGCTCGATGGGACGTTTTCCTAGGAGACCCCTGGCACTTCCTACGTGAAGGCTCTTTCGTCCCTTGAATGGATTGTTCTTTGGGCTGAGGCTATCGATCATCTCTCTAAGATTGAGGGTTGCATTTTTGTCCTCCTGAGGAACTTCTAGGCCTCTCTCCAAGTTTTCTTGATCGTTTATGTCATCCTCAAACTCTTTGGGATCTTGAAAGACAACTTTTCCTTGTCTGGGAACGAACTCCGTAGCAGCTTCTCCAAGAGAGGCTCTACGGTCAAACAAGGCAGTCACTCGTGGTGATCCGAGCCCATTTCGATCAGCGCCTACTCCAGTCAGCTTGCGCTGAGGCGTGAGAACCAAAGGAGAACTCTGGAGTTGAGGTTGTATATGTGGTCGGAAAATTGATGACGGGGTAGACAAAAGGTTGGCGGGTGAGTTGGTCTTTTCGTTAGTTGTTGCTGCTGAATGTTTCTCGGGCGACGAGAGGCGCGCGCTTCGACGAGAGCCTTGTGCGCTTTTCAGCGGCGACGACGAGATAGAGAGAGCGCGAGATGTAGGGGTTTTGACTGGCGAAGGCGTTCGCGATGTTGAACGTCTTGAAGGTTGGGGGGTTTCATCTAACGGCAACAATGGTTGTGCGTTGCTATGACGCAGCCCTTTCCCTCGGAAGGCAGACAATCCAGGACTTTGATTCTCTACTGCCGCTTGGGTTGCGGCTTTTCGAGGACTTGATCTCTTCGCAGGAGAGCTCGACTTCCGGCGGCCAGGTGGCGCGGTTTTTTGTGGTGGTGTTTTCAAAAAGTCAGCATCCTCCTCAGGTGTTTGCTGGCTGAGCTCTTGTGTGCTGTCAGTCTTCTTGTTCAGAATCCCGCCGATGGCGGTAGTGATATCCATTCCCATTGTTTCGTCCTCATCATCTCCAGCCAAATCAGTGTTGGCCTGAGGAAGAATACGTCCGACTCCAACAGTCATGTCCATCGTGAGATCTCCAGCCTCGGTGTTCTGAGCTAAAGATCTGCGGCTACTCGCGCCCATGCTCTTCCTCTTTTGCTTCCCAAGAACGCCGCCCATGATAGTTGTAAGTTCCATCGACATGTCCTCGTTGTCGTCCGACTCTTCCGACTCAAGCACTTGATTACGAATCCCGCCAATCGCGGTAGTGAATTCCATTGTGGCTTCTTCCATTGGCTCATCTTCCTCCTCTGGTGAGGCTTGCTTGCTCTGTTTCTTTCCAATGTGTTCGATAATTCCTCCATAAGCACGAGTGACATCCATGGACATATCCTCCTCCATGGGAAGCTCGTTGTTGGGCTTCAGAATCTTCCCAACAGCACTGGTCATTTCCATGTCCATATCCATATCCATTTCTGTACCATCTTGGACTGGGCTGCTTGGCTCCTCAAAGGATGTTGCTGCCGCAGGCGGAGGGTTTTGCGGTTTGGCCGCTGCCTGGTCTCCTCCCTTCTTGATCCATCCAAATGAGGGGATGATCTCTTCTTCTTCCTCTTCAGATTCATCGTCTAATCTTTGCATGCCGGCTCGATGGGCTGCAAGACGCAGCGCTTCATCAAGAGTTGAAGACTCTCCCTCATCATCATCGAAAGCGTCAGTTCTGTCATCAGTTCTGTCCGAGCCCATCGAAGTGCCAGTCATATCGTCTGTGACCATGGTCATCATGGTACCGTCGTCCGAATCGCTATTGGAGTCTTCACCATCGTCTTCTTCGACAATATCCTCCTCAATTGCATCGACAGGCTCAGAATCAGAGCTGTACCCTGTGGTGCCGGTGTCGTCGCGTGGAAAATGAGGAGCACCTGAAGAAAAATTGTCCTGATCTCTTCCATAATCGTAGTTCCCTCCATCTTCAGCGAACTCGTCGTTGACTTGTGGCTGCTCCCGTGACCCTAAGCTGCGGTCGTTCCCTGAGCCGCCCGCATTATTAGCTACCGAAGAGCGTCGCCGAGACGACGCCTTGTCCTGCATGTATTCGATGTCGTGGAAAGTGTGAAGAGTGGCCTCCGCCGCAAAGGAAACTCGGCGGTTCGCCAGTGACTTGCGCCGGGCATCGCGCCTCTCTCTCTCTTCGCGCTCGCGCGCAGCCGCCTGTTGTTCCTCCTCTGTTCGCAAGGCGATCTTAGAGCCGCTTAATTTATCAAACTGTGATCCGGATAATGTATCGTTTGCTCCGGATTTCTTTGAGCCCTCATTGTTTAATGATGGTATCTCGGGGAGTGGGTTGACGGGGGTTTTCAATATCGATCGCGGGGGTTTGGATGGCGCCGCAATTGACTTGACGATACGTTAGCAGGTCGAGCTGTATGTTGCAGAAAACTCTCAAAACTCACGGCTCTTCGATTCCCGTTTCCATGTTTCAAAGCATCCAGTCCACCAGGTCCAAGACTCTTGCTTCTCAACTTTCGATTCATGGCGAGCGAGTTGCTTCCCAGATCCATGGTCACGTTCTCTTTATCTGCGGCCTTGCGGGCATCGGTGTGCGCGCCAATCGATTTTCGTACACGGCGTGTGGGCGGAAGTGTCGTCTGCCCCGAGGAGGACATCTTGCGTTTGAGCGCGACAAACTTCTTATCGACAATGGTATAGCGGGAATCAGTCGCTCATGGCTCACTACACGAATGTTGATGATTGATACCACGGCGCGTTTGTTTACTTTCCTTTCTCGGCTTAGTGCATACTTTATTGACCTCTAAATGAGGGATGTAGGTGAATGTGGAGCGGGTATCGATAAGCCGATTGAAGTCACGTGAGGATACGAGGCAATCATCACGTGCTTCAGAAAGCTGGTCCCCCCACAAAGAGGTCTAGCCACCAATCGAAATTTTGTAAGCCCTAAGGTGGGAAGTCGATGCAAAATTTGGTGCGTGTATGTGCCCTATTTTCTGATCCGCGCAAAACAATCCTCGACCTTATCACACGCCCAGCCAACTCCCTTACGACACGCCCAATTCTTGCCTGGCAAACGATCATTCAAGATGTCAGTATTGCGATCCGGTCAACATTAAACAAATCGAATACTAACGGCAGTGCAGGGCGACCGAGTTGACCGTCCAGTCGGAGCGTGCTTTCCAGAAGCAGCCTCATATCTTCCAGAACTCCAAGGTCAAGACCAAGTCTGCCCGACCTGGCAAGGGCGGCCGAAGATGGTATAAGGATGTTGGTCTGGGTTTCCGTACCCCCAAGACTGCCATTGAGGGCAGCTACATCGGTATGTGCGAATTGGCCCTCGACCGGGCACACGACGGAAACGAGCCAAGATTGGAGGCGGGAACTTCACAAACGAAGCGATGGGGAATATCGGGCACAGTCATACTAACGACTTTGCAGACAAGAAGTGCCCCTTCACCGGTCTCGTCTCTATCCGTGGCCGTATCCTGACCGGCACCGTCGTTTCCACCAAGATGCACCGAACTGTCATCGTCCGCCGCGAGTACCTCCACTTCATCCCCAAGTACTCCCGATACGAGAAGCGCCACAAGAACCTCGCTGCTCACGTCTCCCCCGCTTTCCGTGTTGAGGAGGGTGACCAGGTCACCGTTGGCCAGTGCCGTCCTCTGAGCAAGACTGTACGTTTGGCAGCCCAAAAAAAGGCAATGTGTATTATGTTGGAGGGGAAGTGCTGACAAAATTTGTTTTAGGTCCGATTCAACGTCCTTCGCGTGCTGCCCCGAACTGGCAAGGCAGTCAAGAAGTTCAGCAAGTTCTAAAAAGTTGAACCCTTCTTCTGGCATTTTTGGCGTGGTAAACATCAGGGGGGATGAGGTTATTCCCACTGGAGGGTCGGGTACCGGAAGCTATGTTGCAATGATTGTGCTATATTACAATCGCGAATAAAAAAGATTTCATGACAGCAACGGGTGCGGTGTCTAAAAACTTTGGCCCTTTCGAAATCGAGGCGCACTGGTTTTATTCCATGTTCATTTGCTCGGGTCTGTAGACAGGGTTTCAATGGGATCATACTGACCTTTGCCTTGCTTTACTGATGCCTACCTTGTGACCTATAAACTGCATAGCTCGCCATCATGGCCAATTGGTCTCGGCAAAGCCATATACATGACCAACCTCTCAATTTCTCCTGTATTCACACGGAGCAGTTCGCCCATTATGCCGTATATGCCGGTCCGTAATCATAGTGATCTCAATCTTCTCCAGAACCCTTAATCCATCCTACGGCATTCAGCTATAGTAAAATTGATGGTGGTTGTTGAATAGGTTGTTACCTTAGTCACCTACGATCCGCAAATTCAGGGTAGGTTTTCCACGGCGGGGCAATCCATGCCGCAACGAGCCGACCCCTGCAAGTCTAGCTCCCATGTTAGCGATTTCGACCTCGATCAAAAAGCTTCACCTTCATCAAAAACCCCAGAATCCATAAACCATCCGGCGCAATGGGCTGGTGGCCATTCGGAGGTGGCCAGGCGGCCGACCCAATTGACAAGCTCGACCCCAAGCTCCGCGAATTCCTCGAGAAGGAGTCGCCCGTGAAGTACCAGCAAAAACCAGACAAGCCTGAAGAGCGAAGAAGCCCAGCGGCGACAACGACGACGACGACAGCCCAAGCACCTCAAGAGAACAAGCCGCTGGTGCCGGAAGCCAGTCTATACCAAGACGGCCGCTATGCGCATCTGTGGAAGAACTACAAGCCGCAGTCGGAGATCGAGGCCGAGTCTGCGACCGACCACGAGAGGCTCATCGGTGTCTTGGAAGGCTACCAGGATCGCAAGTCGGCCATCACGCGAGTTGCCATGGAGAACTGCGCAGAGTTTCAGGAGGCCTGGATCAATTGCTTCAAGCAAGGCGAGTGGAAGGACCGGGTGCAGATGTGCAGGCACCAAGTACGGAAGTTTGAACAGTGCTACACGATGCAGTCGGTATGAGGAAACCCACCCCTATGCGAATTTCTGCAAATGTAGGCGGCTACCCCGGCCAATTGGATAGATGCTGATATGATTTGGTTGTCACAGAGGTTTCTCCGAGCTCTTGGATATGGGTCGGTGCCAGGCCGATCTGCCCAGGTGGAGGAGGACATTCAAATGCACGCCGATGCGCTATACCAACGCGTATTAGACCACGAGAAGGCCGTGGAGCAGGCTAGGATTGACGGCACACCCATTCCGAAATTTGACCCCGTCATCCCCAAAGCAGTTACCAAGACCACCGTCCAGCCATCGGAGGAGGTCCAGCAGCAATGGCGGGAGCAGCTGGAGAAACTACCGGAGGAAGAGCGGGCGGTGGAGGAGGCCGCCCTCAGGGTCGACTTGCAGGCCAAGTCGGAGGTTGCCCGCGGCATGAGGCAGATTTTAGAGTCCAAGAAGAAGGACCAAAAGGAGACCAGGGTTTCGGATGGCCAAGGGACCATCGCCAACACCTTGACTTCTTGGCTTACAGGAGGGAAATAACATTCTACTCCTCTTGGATATCCCGACCTTGCTTCAAGGGCTTCCTAATGTATTACCACATGTACATTATGTATTCCATAGAGCTGTACACATTGGCTGCAACGACCGACATGGGAAATGAAACGATTCGATGGGTGCCACTCCTACCATCATCATATGGGCTCGAGAACAGTGGTACAAGTAAGGTTGTTTAACTGCTTAAAACAAAGTTGACAAGATCCAGTTTACGTAGAACGAGAACGGGGCTGGCTTCTGAACTGGATACGACAATTGAATGTATCAAGGGTATAAATTGCTTATATGTAGAACTTTATAGTGACTCCCCATCATCCACGCCCATCTTAATGGCTGGACTGCTTAGCAGCAACCTTCCTCACAGGCGCAGAGGCCACAGCAGATCTCACATCCAGCTTCCTCACCACCTCGCAGGCTCATCTCGGGCTGAGGCTCAGCAGTCTGTCACGATATCTACGTTAGCGTCCATGCTCGGCCATGTTTCCGGTGACAACTCAACGATCATGATTGATACTTACAGGCTGGGCGGAAACAATGTCATCCGTGACGTCAGTCATGGGAGCTTGCTGTTGGGGCTCGGCAACGGTAGGCATTTTGAAAGGTGATAGAGGAGACGAAGAAGCTTATTGTGAAGAGTGGGTGTGTAAGTGATAGTGGTTTGGCTTGGGGATATCACGGCAAGCGATCCAAGGAGAGAGTGGCATTTTTATACCCATTGACTTGATTAATTACCTATGACGGCCTTATCATCCTTCTCCCAGTATGGGATGCCTCATTAATTCGGCTCGTCTATTAGTCTTGTGAGGCCTCACGACGTGGCAAGGTGTGGCTTGTAGCCGGATAGCCGTCGATACGATGCTGGGTGTGCCGAAATATCCGTATGGCTTGTTCCCCGTCCATCACATTGACTTTTGGCGTTTTGCTAAAGGTAAACTGGGCCGCTCCCGCCCGCTGAGGCAAGTGGCTAGTGCCTGCGTCCAGACTCCTGACGGTCGGCCCTTCGAGGCCGCGTAAGGCTGGTGTTGACGACGTCCCAAATCAGCCGTAGCGAAATGTGCCGATGCCGAACTTCCGAATCTGCGGTAATGCCGTTTGACACAACGTGGGCTGGACCCATGAAATTATGCCCAGGGCAATGTTATGAAGCATGCAGGGCCATTTGCTTTTCCGCTGACTGGTGTGGGCGTATAAGTGTTTCATCAGCTCTACGAATATGTGGAGGGCTTAACGAATGCCAAAGCCACCGAAAGTCTGCTCAATTGAGCCGAAGACTATGACATCAGAGAGCCCACTGCATTGTTCTTGGAATTCGCACTCGAAACGGAAAAGCAACCGAACTTCTGCAATCCGTTGTTTTTTAACATTCGGTAGTTAAAATGGCATTCCGTGCACTTGTGAGCTGTCTCGCCAGTCAAGCGAGGAGGCTTGGTGGTGGTGGAGCTGGTTGTTTGTTAGTGGCACATCACCAAATAGATCATCAACGAGCACAGACATGTCACAATTGATGCGTACCCGGAGCAATCGACGAGATGGTCCAGCAAAACTCATCGATTGTTCTCTCGAAATTGTTCTGGATTCTGTGAGCGGTACCCGAGACGCTATCCAGCCATTTATTGCTTGGATAATCTCGCGGCTTTGAAACGACTTGGTCGCTTTCCTACTCCTCCTTCCGTTTCATCTACTGGTTGAGTTGGAGATTCTTTCTCCTCTAGGAACCCACCTTCTCGCTGAATGAATTTTCTTCTCAGCCGGTGGTGTTCCGCGGCAATTTCCTGGTGGAGGGTAATATCAGTCAGGTCATCGTCAGCCGGCACCACACCTGGTGTGGTTTCCCGCTCCACGAGCTGTTCAGCAATGGTCTTCCCCTCTGGTCCAGTTGGAGCTGTTGGTCTGTCCTGATCCAGAAATACCGGTGACACATCCAGAGGGCCTTTCGGCAAAGCTCCAGCTTCGGGGGCACTATTCATGGTTTTCTTAAAACGCGAAGGCTTGCGGTTTGACGTAGCCTCCGTCGGTTTTGAGGAGCCAGACCGTTCAACAACAATGTCCGATAGTGGCTCAACGATAGCTTCCTTTTCTGTTGTAGGAGCTGCGTCTGTGGTCTTTGGGGGTTTCTCAGGGGCAATGTCCAGATTCTCAGCAAAGCGAACACCTTTTTTCTTGGGTTTGACCTCGGTTTGATCGGTGCTCGGCTGAACTGAAGAAGGTACATCCTCCCCACGAGTCACCACAATGCGACCGATGCCTTCATCGTCTGAGCTTTCGCCCTCGACTTCCTGGACTCTAGTCTCCTGAGCTTCTTCGGCCTCCATCTTAGCTGTGAATCGGGACTTGACGCCCAACTTTTTCTCTAGTTCGAGCATGCGTTGACGGTAATCATCTGTGACGATGCTGCCGGTAAACCTTCCGTATTTGTCTTCGTGGTCATAATCTTCGTCTTCGTCCAAGTCAGCATCGCTGTACTCAAACTCGTAATCTTCCTCTTCGTAGTCACTGGTCTGGTTCTCCTCAATTTCGAGCTCAGCAACAACGGCCCCGATTTCGCCCATACTATATCGTAGCATTTCCTCTCGTAAGGCAGCATCCTCTGGCGACTCGTTGGCAGGTATTACTGGCTTCTCCTTTAGAATAGCATCTTGGCCTTTAGCTGCATCCATAATGTTTTCCACCCGGGCAGCCATCCTGGATACAGTCGGCTCGACCTCTTCGACATCATCGTGAGTTTCTGCGAAGGATACCTTCTTTTTGATTTGTTTCTTGGGGGCTGGTTCGTCTTTTCGTTTGGGCTCTGCGGCATGATTTTCCTTTGGCTGTACCTGTGAAGGAACCTCTTGCTGTGATATTTGGGCCTGAGTGCTCGCCCGTCCGGTGTCCTCCTTCGCATCCTTCTTCACCGCAGCAAGATCCTTAACAAGATCTTTGATGCCAGCCTTCTTTAAGGCTTCTTCGATGTGCGGTACCCCTTCACCAGGCCTGTTCAATTTGAACGAGATGACATTGTCGTCCTCATCTAGTTCTTCGACAATCTCGGTGATGGGCTGGCCTTCTTCATCCCGAGCATCTGGCTGACTGATGATCGATGCAGCAGCGTACTTATTCTCAGCCGCCTGAAGCTGCTTGTGAAGCGTTTCAATGTTCTTTGTCACATAATCTATTCGCCGTTCTAGAACATTGATGATCTGCTCCTTTGACTTCTGGCCCGTCAAGCCGAAAATCTCTCCGATTTCCTTTTGCTTTACCAGTTCTCCGTCGAAGCCGGTTTGGATGCGCTCAAGATCGTCTGGCGACGGACCCGCTGCTGTGACCTCTTCCTTCAGCCCTTCATACTCAGCATCCCACGTTTGCCAGTGCTGCAAAGCCTTCCGGAGCTCCAGAATTTTGTCCTGTAGAAGAATGCGATGTCTTTCGAGGTCAATCAAACTATCTTTGATTGGAGCCATACTGAGTCGATATGAAAGTGAAGCAACAAAGCCGAGAAAAAATTCATCTTGAAGACATGGGTAATAGCCATAACCAGTGGCGAGGCTCCACCAAGAACGGCACTGGTGAATCTTCGGCTAAACTGCCCGGGCTTATCATTCGAAGCTAGGCGCTTGCCTTAGATACCTGATCTACAGTAATTGTTAGGAGCTAATAACTTCCAGTACAACCCACTCATAGTGACGTGAATTTGGAGATTGACAGGAAGGGCGTGGCAGATACGTGAAATACGTTCACGGTCCAACATAAGAAAAAGTATACATTCGGGTGAATCTAGGCGTCTTCTGCCTCTCTTGGTTCTGTACTTAACGACTTGCCTTCACAATTGAACACCTAAGATCCTAGAGCATAACATCTGTTTAACTCAAATTCACTGCATCATGGCATCAGAGAATAAGACCAAACTCTTGGAAGCCAAGTGCTTCTGTGGTTCCGTGCACTTCACCGTTGAAGTTCCCATTGTCATACTTCCCCTGCCAGTTCATCTTTGCCATTGCACGGTGTGTCGTTATCGCTCTGGTGCGCCATGTGTATTCCACACCAAGCTGCCAAAAGAGGCACCCATGAAGTTCATATCGCCTTCTGTAGAGGCAAACATGACAGTCTATACTTTCGGAGAGCGCGTATCGGCTTGGAATTTCTGCTCAACATGTGGATGTCACATCACCTCTGTGGATCGTGACGATGGTCACTGGACCGTTTCGACATCCATCTTCAAGGACCACGGACCTGAGAATTTCCAAATCAAGAGGCACATCTACAGTGGTTCGACGTTCGACCACGGGCTTCCTGATATCATACCCCAAGTCGATGGGCTCCACCTTGAGGACTGGAACCCTCCTCACGATGATCCAAGCTCCGAGACTTTAGTCCCGAAGCTTGAACACGACGCAAATGGCCAGGAGCGGCTGCGAGCTGAGTGCCACTGTGGCGGCGTGTCATTCACCATTGGTCGACCAACTAAGGACGTGCTCGAGGACGCACAGCTCAAGGACTTTGTCTCCCCTCTTGATCAGACGAAATGGATGGCACTCTATGACGCCTGTGATGACTGCAGGCTCCTCACCGGAACCCATCTCGTGGGATGGACCTTTATTCCCCTCTCCACATGCAATCCTCCCATCGCGAGAGATCTAAAGATAGGTACCGCAAAGACGTACCAGAGCTCACCAAATGTCCTGCGATCATTCTGCGGAACTTGCGGTGCGACCGTCTTCTTCACGTGCGATGAGCGCTGCCCAGCAGGGGGGGAGTCAGTCGTCGATCTCGCGACCGGAATCCTGCGGGCCCCTGAAGGTTCAATGGCTGAGAAATGGTTGACCTGGCGATCGAACCCTGCTTGGCTGCCGTCTGGGAAACAGTATCATCGCGCTTTTAGTGAGGCCTTGGAACAGGGAATGAAGGAGTGGACCTTGGATCACTATAATCAGGAGGTTCGCCATGTTATTCCCGATAATTTATCACCTCCTAGTTAATTGAAACGGCAAATGATATGTTGATACGAGCCATCATGTTGTAAATGATGCGGCGCGGGCGGTTGAATGTTAGATAGCGAGGTGTGTGGAGGGTTGATTGAATTAAGAATTAAATTTGTCGCGAGATTTGGTTTGAGGACCCTCATTTTGCTCACCTACAACATAATGACACAATCGGTTGTGATGCGACTCCAAAACACTGCAATTCTCACACTGTAACCGCCATCTTCTATTCGATGGTAACACCACCAAAACGAACGTTTACGCCTGGCGTAGGGCTTGCATCTATCATTTCTCGCTGCCAATACATTCGATGTATGGCTTCGTCCGCTCGCTCATACAACGTGAGTGAAAGACAACCATGCACCCCTGCGCAACCTATGCGAAACCACTAATAAGACTATAGAATGCGATCGACTCGCTCAATTCCCTCCAAACTTCCCATGCGGCTTTCAAGGCGCGGATAAAGGCTGGTATCAAGCCCGATGCCTCCTCAATCGCAGAGATGAAGACATATATACGCCGTCTTGGCTATTCAGTGCGTAAAGCCAGGCTCATTGCATTCAACTACCTACACAAGGTACAATCCAATCCAGACTGACTTTTTTCTCAGACGTCTGATCTCGATCGTTTAAACATCATTCATGTCGCTGGCACGAAGGGAAAAGGCACCACATGCGCCTTCGTTGATTCTATCTTATCCCGCTATCGGACTACACATGGAGTTCCTCGGAAGACGGGGCTCTTCATCTCCCCTCACCTAGTCTCGGTGCGAGAACGGATACGTATCAATTCCGCACCGATACCTGAGGCTCTGTTTGCGAGGTATTTCTACGATATATGGGACCGTTTAGGATCGGCAGCCGAACAAGATGGTGTTGAGGGAGCAAACCAGGAAAATGCCTCCCCTCTGGACATCAGACCTACATACGCTCGCTTTCTGACACTGATGAGCTGGCACGTCTTCTTGCAAGAAGGCGTCGATGTAGCTGTCTATGAAACGGGAATTGGTGGCGAGTTTGACGCGACGAACGTGGTTGAGCGGCCGGTGGCCACCGGTATCAGCAGCTTGGGAATCGATCATATCTTTGCACTCGGGGACACCATCGACAAAATTGCGTGGCACAAGGCGGGGATTATGAAGACCGGTTCCCCCGCCTTCACCATTGAACAAGTTCCGGCTGCTCAAAAAGTTCTCCAAGAGAGAGCAGACGAGAAGGGTGTGGATTTGCAAGCTCTCAAAATTGACACTCGGCTTCGAGATGTACGAATACATCCAGATGCCGAGTTCCAGAAGAAAAACGCAACCCTTGCGACTGCCCTGGCGGAGACTGCCTTGACACGACTCGGGGCCCTGACACCGCACCAGGATGTTCTGCCTGATGAGTTCCGAAAAGCACTCGAGGGCACTGTATTCCGCGGACGTTGTGAAATCAAGGCTGAAGACCAAGTGGTTTGGCATCTGGACGGTGCACATACGGCCGACAGCCTTACGCTCGCTTCCAAATGGTTTGCTAACGAGACGTCTGGACAGTAATGAGACGCCCCAAGACCCGCCAGTGTTTCTTCAAGTATCCATCGCTAACGAGACATGCAGAACCGGACCGCGAGTCTTGGTGTTCAACCAACTAGGCAGGGTCGAGGCCATCGACTTCCTAAATCTGATTTCCGCTGCTAACAAGCAGGAGAATGGCCCGCCATTTAGCCATGTCATATTCTGTACCAACATCACACACGCCCAGACTGGTTACAAACGCGATTTCGTTAACAACCAATATGATACCAGGGAGATTGAGTCTCTAGCAGTGCAGAGAAGATTTGCTGAAAGATGGTCGTCTCTGGATCCTGAGGCTTCGGTTGTAGTTTTACCAACTATCGAGCAGGCTCTTACTCATGTCCGAGAACTTGGAGTTAACATGCTAAACAAAGATGAAAAGATTCAGGCTTTTGTCACGGGCAGCTTGCATTTGGTTGGTGGTGCACTGGGCATATTAGAGAATGTCGATGCTCTTTAGGTGTTATTCAGCGATCATTTTAGTACAAATGAGTCGTCCCCAACATCAATCAGTGTTCCAAGGCTCAAGAATCCCAATAACGCCACCTACAAGGTGCATGCTTCCTGTTACCAATACTCTCTTGGCACCACCTGGGTCCCTGCATATTCTCCCTGCTTCCAAAACACTGTCCCTGATGTTGTCAAAAGTCTGTACCTGACAACCTGGGGCAAGAAGTTTCATGGTTTCAGCTCCTTTTTGCTGGACAGCCAGATCCCTTTTTTCGTCTGCAGCTGGTCCTTCTATATCATTAGTGGTGAAGAGCGCATGGCTAAAGATATCTTCCCGGCCCGAGACAGCCTTCATAGTGCTCATGAAAGCGGTTAGAAGTCCCGATATATCTCGATCCGGTAGGTTGAATATCAGGACAACCTTTTCGTTCTTGTCAAGTTCCTGACCATACCACCGGGCAACCTCTATCAAGCTGTCCTTTGTGTGTGCGCCATCAACGCACCATTGTACTTCACCATCTTTGATGGTCTCTCCACGCCCCCGTAACCTTGCCTCCCTCAGGCCGTCGATCATCTCCTCGGGTGGGTTTTGCAAGCTGACCCTGGCCGTGCTTTCCAGCCCAAGATGTTCTCGCACGGCACAGATCGCCAGCGCCTGGTTAATCTTTTGAAAATCCCCTTTCAATGTACCCTTGACACCTCCCCAAGCATTGATAACATCGTCATCGATCTCCTCCAGAATGGCACCTTTCTCTTCTGCCCTCGATCGTAACACTGCCATGACCTCTGGCTGGTCGTCGAGCCGCCTGGTGAATGCCTTTTTTCCTCGCTTGAACACGCCTGCCTTGTGCCAAGCAATCTTCTCAACCGTGTCCCCCAGCATGGCTACATGGTCAATTCCGAGCTGCGACACTACAGCCGCGGACACCGCCTCCGCGGGCAGGACGTTCGTCGCATCGTACTCGCCACCAATCCCACACTCAAATACGACATCGCGGATCCCTTGGTTGATAAATATATGCCAAGCCAATACCGTCATGAACCGAAAATAAAATGGTTTCGACTCGGGGCCCTCAGCCTCCGCCGCAGTCTTACCCTCCTTCATCGCCGCCTCCGTGAACCGATCCCACACCTCAAAGAACGACTTGGCAAACAGCTCCTTCTCCACCGGCTCCCCATCAATCGCAATCCTCTCTCTCGGGCTCAGGAGATGAGGGCTGGTGTATGTCCCAACTCTGCCGTACTTGCGCAGGATGGCCGTCGCGTAGGCGCAAACTGAGCCCTTGCCCTTGGTCCCCGCGACGCGGATGTGTTGTATGCGGCAGAGGTCATGTGGCGTGTATCCCGCGCGCCGCATCCACGCGAGCATCTCAGGGATCGCATCTGCGTTGCGGTCTTTCTTGGGGGCCAATATATCGGACGGAGCCTTTAGCACTTCGAAGAGGCGAGTGCTGGTCCGGTTGGAGGCGAGCAAAGAGAGCCTTTCAAGGGCTTCAGTGTAGCCGCGGGAGGCCGAGCTGAAGCACCGAATGCGGCCACGGGTGCTGCTTAGCAACGACGGCTTCATCATTGCGATTTTATTCATACAGAATGGGAAATGCTGGGTATCTAGCCAAGGATGAAAAGATGAAATATGTTACGTTGGAAGGTTCAAGTTCAGGTGGGTCATCAGAGCTCATATACGGAAGAGAAAGAGAATAAAGTTTAACAACAATGAAGCTGCAATTGCCCGGAACAACTCAACGCAGTGAATACGAAAGCTTAAAAATATAGCCTTCCCTAGTCTACGGCGAGAGAGCCTTCCCTAGTCCACCCAAGATAGAGTTATACGGCAGGAACCTTCGTTCAAATTACTACTAATAAAGGAACTAGGCGAGAGAGCCTTCCCTAGTCCACCCAAGATAGAGTCATACGGCAGGAAGATTCTATGAACCTTCGTTCAAATTACTACTAATAAAGGAACTACGGCGAGAGAGCCTTCCCTAGTCCACCCAAGATAGAGTCATACGGCAGGAAGATTCTATGAACCTTCGTTGAGCTCATGTGTAATCCTACAAATTACTACCAACAAAGGAACTACGGCGAGAGAGCCTTCCAACATTTCCAATCTTCCCTGGTCACCGTATTGGCCCCCAGTTTGGCCAGACAAATACTATTTGGATTCTGAATTTCATGAGACAGACACTAGTAATACCATTCAACCCCATGTCTATTGATCTAATACACGGGCGGAAGAATACCCCTTTTCATTTGAAGGACCAATGTACAAGACAAAAGAAAAAGCCTACCCTTACTCCACCCTCAAGCTCTGTAGCCGAGCTTCAGTAGCTATGACCTATAGCATATATTAGTTTCCGTCGGTAGTAAGATAAGTAGCTGGGAATGAGAAACTTACGTCAAGCGCTTGCTGGACCTCCAATACCTTGCGCACTTCGCCCAGCCAGTCTTTGCTAAGGGTCTTGGCCCATCCCTCCAAGCCATTCACCTCACGAGCAGCGGCGTCCAGATCGCCCTCCTCCAAGAAGATCTGTGTTCTTGTCAGGATGCTCTCCACGTCATTGCCCTCTGGAAGACCCTGCTTCTTGAACATAACGTGGCTGAGAACCCAGCTGGAAGCGTGGCTAGCAACACCAGCATTGTCGGGGAGGAGTGATGCCTTGCGAACCTCACTAGCGACCCGGCGGAATCTGTCAATTAGCTGAGGAGTTGTGAAGAGTCCGCGTTGGTACGCAGCCGGGTTCAACGAGGCGATAGCCGCATTGACAACTGCATCGTCGGCGGCAATCTCCTTGAGCGCAACAAGCTCCTTGATGAAGGGCTGGGGCTGAGTAGCGGTCTCAAGTTTGGCGCGGACAGCCTCGACAGCGACATGAAGCTGCTGTGTCTGGAGGTTGGAGTCGATCACCGAGTTCCATCCCGTAGTCAGCTGCTCCAGGTCCGTCACAGCAGCGGAGAGGGCATCCAGTTGACCCAAACGGCTTTCTCGCTCTTGCTCAACGCGGTTTTGGACCTCGGTGGTGAATTCCTTCTTGAGGGCAATGGCCTGCTCAAGAAGTTGGTTCTCCAACTTGGCTTCATTGAGCTTCTTCTCACGCTCTAGAAGAAGGTTGACGCGGGCATCGTAGCTTCCTCGGACCTTCTCCATCTCCTCTTCAAACTCCTTGCGCCATTGCAGCTCTTGGCCAATCATAGCCTTCTCAACACGGCCGACAAGCTCGGTGGCAGCCTTGTCGAATTCGGCAACCTTTGCGCGAACCTCGTCGGCGGACTCCTGCTCGACCTTGGCCTTGATAGCCTTGAGCTGACCTCCGACCTTCTTCACTTGTGACTTGGCCTTTTCGATTGAAGATCCGTACTTTCCATGGGCACCATCTGCGTTGATCACAGTAATGAGATCATTGAGCATATGGACAAGTTCTTGAACAACTGGTTCCTTGGCATCGGCCAGGGAGAGAAGATCAATGGGCTTCAGGGGTGGGAATCTTGAAGGTTCATTAACTTCGGGCTCCTTGAAGCCTGGTTGCTTCTTCTCCTCGGACTTGACAGCGACAGGTTCAGCGGGCTTAGCCGTAGGCTCGGGGGTCTTCGTGGCAGCCTTGGGTTTAGCAGGCTGGCTCTCCTTCTTTGTGGGAGCTGAGCCAGTACCAGATCGTCTGCTTGAGTCAGCAGCATCGGCGACCCTCCAAGAAGCACCGCTCTGGGCTGGGATTGTAACCTGCTCGCTGCCATCTCGGGGTTTTCCGATGCGACTCGCTGCATTAGGAAATCGCTTCTTGTATTCCAATTCCTCCAAGTACAAAACAGCCTGCTCTCCGTATGGTACATATTCGGTAAAGTAATCATGGAAGGTGTCGTTGATCCGAGAGTACCAAACACCTCCACCAAAAGCGAGGGCACTCAGCAAAATCAAGTTCAAGGTGAGGTTTCGAAGTCGCCTGAAGAAACCCTTCTTCTTGCGTGGAGGAGTGACAGGTGGCGCTGGGGTTGGAATCTCTTTGGCCTTGGACTCTCCAACATCATCGATTGTCGCAGGAGGGGGGTTCTGAGCAGCGGCTTTCGCGACTTCGGCCTTCTTTTGGTCGGCAAACCCTCTCTACAAGTGACGGTATTAGAATATAACCCATCCCAATGACCAATTATCAATAGCAGTTATCTGATTCGAGGATCTTACCTGAAGCAACAGGTTGGCTCGGTGCGAGGTCGCAACAGGCCATTGGCGCTGGGCAGCAGCCGCAATGGGCTGTCTGCCAAGCACACGCGCTGACCGGAGCGATAATCGCAACATTAGGGAGAGTATGGCCAACGCAGGCGCAGGGATAGAGGGAATGGCGATGGATCGTGTATGGAGATCGAGAAGCTGGACAAAAACGCTCAGGAAAAAGTTCGCCTAATGGGCCTGATCGGCTGGGCGGACCTGACACGGCGGCGGGCTAGTTAGTGACGGTAGGAACCGGGTGGGTGTGACGCAACTGGCATTCTGAACCTCCGAGTTGCCTCACCAAGTTCAATCCTTCAATTGGGTTTGGTGCTACCCTATAGCTGCTACAAATTAGTTGAATGCAAACTCTATCACACGCCTCGGTCCATCGATCCATTCACTAGGTAGGTTTCCCGTATGACCGATAGCAGACTCTCGCATTTAGAAGAGTGGCTATTTTGAATTGGTCTGTCGGATGTCAGATGTGACTCGAGGTTGAGGTCTCATGTATTATATAAGACTACCTATATCAGACATGTAATTGCATTTCCTCTCATCAGGCAGCACATCATTAAGATTACACCCAGATAACTAAAATCATGTTTCTGAAACCACTGCAATCTATTAGGCGCCGGATTATATCTGAATGCTACATGTGCCTCTTGAAACGTGGCCGCTGAACCTCTCCCTAAGCCCTATCCTTCGCAAGCATTTGGGCAACCCAGAGACAATAATGATATCCAGCCGGCACCCCGAAGACCCTGAAACAAAAATCGGATCTTAATATTAAAAAAAGAAGAACGAAGAGACATTGTCAACTGAAAACCATTCACGAACCCAGACTCCAAGGAATATACGAGGTGCTAGGACTAAGAAGAAAAAATATGAGAGCCAAGCTGGAAGACATTGTCGGTATTGAGTCCATATGCCAACCCCAGCTACTACACAGCACGTCCACGGCGCGGGAAACCTCATCTGACGGTTATTTGCGAGAGGAGTTCTAACAGCTGCACTGTCCGCCCGCGTTGGTGTTTCCGCTTTCGGGTTGCAGAGTAACACCTGGTCGCTGCCCTGGTCGAGCGTGTCGAGGACCTGCCTGATCTAGCGGCAGCTTTTTGGCAATAGCTGTGAAGAGCTCACGGACATTCTCAGCTGTTTTCGCGGAGGTCTCGAAGAACAATAGACCAGCCTCCTGTGCATAGGCTTCAGCATCAGCGGTCGGGATCGCTCGTTTATCGGGTTGCTCGGTGACCAAGTCGAGTTTATTGCCGGCAAGAGCAATGATGATGTTTTCGTTAGCCTGTCGCTGCAGTTCCTTCACCCACGCCTTAGCCTTATCTAGAGAGGCCTTTTGGCTGTCAGTACCAATGCAGTGCGTTGTGAGGTTGGTGAATTCCACATACAGATTGCGTAATATCGTATACAACAACAGCGCAGTTGGCGTTTCGATAGTACATGGGAGCGAGAGATTTGTATCGCTCCTGGCCAGCCGTATCCCAGATCTCAAACTTGACAGTTGTGTTCTCGTCCAGAGAGATGGTTTGGGTAAGGAACGCAGCACCGATTGTGGATTCGCGGAAAGAGTCGAATTGATCCTGGACAACAAGTTAGCGACGAAAGGTCGTGTGAGATGAAGCTTGACAGGCTGACGCACCTTTACGAATCGCAGGACAATCGAACTCTGGATGCATATGTTAGTACTTCGTTCCAAGTGCATGCGTGAGTATTGTGCCATGTACCTTGCCTACGGCCGACTCTCCTGCACATCTGTTAGCGATGTTTAACTAATGGGAGCTGAAATGGTGACGTACCGAGAAGAACCAGCTTGAATTGCGCAAAGCGGTTATTGGGGCCGCGGGGGCCGGCGGGTCCTCGAGAAGCCATGATGCGTGTGTGAATGGTTTTGGCGGTTGGGAACCCTGGGAGAGAACGGAGCCGGTGTGATGATGGAGGGGGTGGCGGTCGAAGGAATCAGTTGTTGAGAGGCCTATTTGCCTGATAGATTAGGCGGCGTGTGTAAGGGGGACGAAGGCAGTGGGTGGTGATGCGGAATGGAGGCGGTGCGATGGATAAGATGTGTAGACAGAGACCAGATCCGGGAGATATCCACGCTGGTGCTGGTGACGATGCAGGCGGATAGGCATACACAAAGATGAATGGTGAAGGCACCCACGTCAGTGTTGGCTCCAAAAGGTCAGTCAGCAGGCAAGCAGACCATCTCATGGGTGCACGGGGTCTTCTGAGACCTGGCGGCACGGTGGCTGTACCCCAATTCCGGTGTAGCTTTTGCCCGTTTGCATGTACACAGTACACCCACGTGTTACATAAGCCGGGCACCCACCAGTGAGGCAGGCACTTTGCAGTGGTTACAGTCTGTTGGGGCGTGTGGCTTTCACAAGCTCCAGGCGGGTCCCACGGTTCATCCAGGCGCTGTGACGTGATTGGGGGGTTGGCCAGGAACATGCCAACCCGCCAAAAATAGGCCCCAGACTATGTCCTCCGAAGCTGAGCTGGCTTGCAGGTCGGTGCTAATGATGTGGCCTCTCTCCAACACCAAAGTTTGGAATTGTTGACGCCTAAACTATCCACGCAAGCTCATTATCCCCCGTGATAGTGGCTTGCATGCGGGAAGCATCAATTTGCTTCACCACCCCTCACTGGATCGTCCAGTACCACTGATAGTCCCACCACGGGTCCGCTAAACAACCATCTGCTGCCATGGCCCATCTCCAGACAGCGAAACTTCCTTATCGGGATACCAACATCAGAGTCACCACCGACGCGTACACCTTCACCTCGCCCTCGTCCCCCGATGCGCCTGCTTTGATCCTCGACCGGCCGACCGGCGATGTGCGTTTGAGCGAAGGTTCTGCCGCCACTTCCAAGCGGGCATCTCGAGTCTCCAGCATTGCTGGTATTCTGGGCATCGTTCAGCTTAGACTAGGTTAGTCTGGCCAAGCAGCTGTTTACAGTCGTTGGATGGATGCGACTGTAAGTGTTTATTCAGAGGGATTCTGACTTTGGGCAGACAAATATGTGATTCTCATCAACAAAGCCAACCCGGTTGGCCGCCTCAAGGGCCACATGATCTATAAGATCGCTTCGACTGAGATACTGCCCATGAGAGAGCGGCAAGTTCACGACCCCGACGAGGATACATTCATCGAGCTTCTCAAGACGTTCCTCGCGCAAGGCCCCATGTACTTCTCCTACTCCATCGACTTGACCAACTCGGTCCAGCGTCAGTCCCAGTCCGACACTACAAATCCCCTGTGGATGAGAGCCGACGATCGCTTCTTTTTCAACCGATATCTCCAAACCGATTTGATCAACTTCCGAAACCGGGGCTCAAGGAGTCAGCCAGGCTCTCGCTCCGGAGTCGACCCTTTCATCCTTCCGTGCATCTTTGGCATGCTTGAAATCAAGCCAACGACGTTCAAGAGCACGCAATTGACGCTGGCCCTCATTTCTCGTCGATCACGCTTCCGAGGTGGCACGCGATACTTCACTCGAGGTCTGGACGAGAAGGGCCATGCCGCCAACTACAATGAAACTGAGCAGATTGTTATTCTCAATGACCGTAGCAGCGGATTAGGCGGCTATGCTGGCAGTTCTGACATGCAGAGCGGCAAAATTGGGGGACCGAACGAGAAGGAAGTGCAGCTTTTCTCTTATGTCCAGACTCGAGGCAGTGTTCCGACATACTGGGCTGAAATCAACACTCTGCGCTACACTCCCAAGATTCAGGTGCGAAGTACCGAGTCAGCAGCCGCAGCCGCAAGGAGGCACTTTGATGAGCAAATCCGCATCTATGGTGACAACTATCTCATTAACCTTGTCAATCATAAAGGCCGAGAGCAGAAGATCAAAGACTCTTACGAGAAGATGGTTCAGACACTGGTCTCGTCTCCGACCGCGAAGCAGGAAGCTGACAGGCTTACTGATGAAAAGTTCACTACCATTCAGCCTGGCAGTTCTCAGCAGGAGTTCGACCGCGTACACTACGTCTACTTTGACTACCACACCGAGACAAAGGGCATGAACATGCACAAGGCATATGCACTTGTCGAAAGATTAGCCAATGTACTTGAATCACAGGGCTATTTCCGTGGCATTGACACGCCAGCGAATAAGGACAGATTGATTGATGCTCGAAGTCTCCAGACCAGCGTCATGCGCACCAACTGCATGGACTGCCTTGACCGTACTAATGTCGTCCAGAGCATGTTTGCACGCCACATGCTCGATCGCGTGTTCCAGGATCTTGGCTTGCTCCAGCGCGGCTCTTCATTCCGTGACGAGGACCCAGCTTTCGAGTTCCTCTTCCGGAACCTGTGGGCGGACAATGCTGATGTCGTCTCCAAAGCCTACTCCGGTACTGGCGCAATGAAGACTGATGTCACGAGAACTGGCAAGCGGACCAAGATGGGTGCTCTTCAGGATGGTCGAGTCGGTGTCACCCGATACTTCCTCAACAACTTCATGGACGGACCCCGCCAGGATGCTTTTGATCTGTTCCTCGGAGCATACGAGCCTGGAGCTGCCAACATCGGCAACAACCTCATCTTTGTGGACAAGCGGCCCCTCCTTATCCAGTCAATCCCTTACTTGCTTGCGTTTAGCGCCTTCGTTATTTTCATCAGCATCTTCACCAAGCGGGATCCAACCTCGAGTTCGCTCCCCATCCGGCTCTTCATGCTCTTTTGGCTCGGCGTTGCTGGATACTGTATTCACTTCATCGTTGGCCACGGCATGCTCTATGTGAGTCTTCTTTCCTGCACACATGATACTTTGTGTACCGTACACTTGACTAACACAATGTGATTTCCAGGTCAACTGGCCTCGTCTTAACCCACGACCATTCGCTGTTGAGGCGTATGGCGAGAGCTTCACAAAGGCCAGAAAGGACTCCCTGGTTGGACCCTTCGTGGCCAAGCACGAGAGAGGATTGAGCACAGCCCGTTACCTCAATGCAGAGGAGGGCAAGAAGAGAATTGAATAGAGCTTAGAAAGCGCTAGACTAGATGTTGCCGTTTGCTTTATTGGTAGCCGTCTACTTCAAAACCCTGTAGTTTCTTATGTTGTATTCAATTCGGTTCTTTTATTATGTTAGTCTTCTATCTTATGAAACCGTCGGTCCCTGCATTCTATTCATGGGGGGAGGATGGTTCGAACTTTATAATATTCTCTGGCTAGTTAGACTATGCTTCCATCGGGATAACAGATGTTGTTTTTCTGCCCCTTGACAAAAAAGATGTGCAACCAAAACATTCCAAACCGGGAAACAGATAGGTAGAAATAGGCTCCTAAGCTATGCAGTTATATATATCTCTGGAAATGGGTATCTGTAGCAAATGGTAATGAGATGAAAATGAGTAGAACATGGCCTAAATCGACCGCCTTCCGATAACGTATGTTTTTATGAAGGGAATAAGGCAAAAGGAAAAGGAAATTGTAAGGGAGGGCAAAAGGGAAGAAAAAGGAAAGATGTAGGGAAACAAATAGGCCAGAAAGACCAGGGGCATAGAACAAGAGTAGGAATGCAACTCGTGCCCACTGTGAACGTGTTATAGGCAAAGGAGCCATCTAATGCCACGCCCAACACCTCGCCCAATGCCGAAAAAGACTCTCAAAACAGTGACCACGAACCAAACATACCACATGAAGCCGACAAGAACCCACTCGACTGCCAGCCAAAGGCCTCGTCGAACCCACCGGAATCGTCTGCGGCGTTTTCGAAGCAACTTGTCCATCACGTCAACAACGTGTTTGACTTTCAGAGGCTGATCCAAGGCAAGATTCTGAGTTGTCTCATCTGCCTCGTCGGCTATCTGGCGGGTGAGTTGTGACAGATCATCTGTCAGGCGAGACCGTATTTGCCACAGTTGTTTCTGTAGATTTGGAACAGTCTTGTTGGTGAATCTGTCGGCCGATGATTGCCACCGTTGCCCAGACACCTGCATCGCCATTCCCAGGGCACGAGACGCAAGGGGATACACCTCACAGCCGACAACCTCTTGCTGTTGCAACTCTTTTGAGTTCGGAGCGAGTCGTGCGATATCCGACCAATTGACTTCGCCGACGTTGCTGATTGGATCGGTCTTGACCATGTCGACGCCGCCGTTGGCTAGAGGTCTATGTATCTCACCTGCACGACGAGTGATTTCCATGGCTTTGATGCCGGCACTAAGTATCAATGCTCTCATACGGGCGACTTCTCGTCTTGAGAGCTGAGCACTTTCCGGAGTTAGGCTGTTGTCTGTAATGGACCAGTGCCGGGCGGTTGCTCTGCCAGTGACATCAGGGCTTGAGTCAGCATTGAGATGGTCTCGGTCCCTTTGGTCACCCTCGATAGGGCTTTTTGAGGCGGAGTAATCCGATTCCTCCGAGTGGCTTGCTTCTTGAATAGGAGAAGGCGAGCCAGGAGAAGCGCTTTGAATGTCGATCCGTGGAGGTTTCAACAGATTCCATCGCGATGTGCTGGAATCTGTGGACTTGGCCTTGTCAAACATAGATTGCCTATCATTTCGATTCTCGGCTTGTGCGTTTATTTCTGAGACATGCTGGAAGAGAGGCATTTCATCGTAAAAGTTCTTGACGTTCGGTGGTACCTCGTCCGAACTCTGTGCTGACCGTCCTCGGGACATGATTGGCCTCGTGGCGTCTTTTGCAACGTCACTGTCCGACTCATCGGAGCTATCAGATGATGAATCGCTGCCCTCATCCTTTCTCCAGATGAGGTCCCCTATTTTCGAGACACTTCCGCGTATCACAGTGTCGATTCGAGGTGCGGCTAGGATGCTTCGCAGACCAAAGCCTTCCTCTGCGCGTGAGCGTACACTTGTCGACCTTTTATGAGCTCTCCATGCATCCTCATTTGATTTGCCGGCGATGGTTCTCGTTGGTGATAGAAGACCATCTGGATACACTATGACATGCGGCTCACCTTCCTCTTCTGCTTCGGACTGAGACTCAAGATGACCCCGGCTCTTGTCAAAGATTTTTCGCTTGACCTTTGAAAGAGGATTCCTCGATGGAGATTGAGAGCGACTTGAGGGTCTTGAAATTTCCACGTCCCAGGTGAAGGGACTCTCTCCATACTCCCGAGTTGGAGATAACTGTGGCGAGTTCGGAATAGAACTGATATTAACAGCAGTTGAGCTTGATCTGTTGCGTCCTGGGACCTCTAGACTAGGTCGACCATGTTGTTGCCTTGTCGCTGTACCCCAAGGGGACTTATCCTTAGGCTCGCTATCACTGAAGTCTGCAACGGATGGCCCCCGACTGTGAGATCTGCTCACTGGTTTGCTCAGTTGTTTCTGGTCAGATGCAGCATGGCTGTTGCGAATCTGAGTTATGAGATCGTTCTCTGAAATTTGCGGCAGCACCCCGTCTCGTGTTTCTTGAGCTACCATTTCTGTCATTTGTTTCTGCAGGAGGTCGCTGGGATCTGTTGTGAGAGTCTCTCTCCGGGGTAAACCTTTCTTTCTCCTCCTTTCTAGCCTTTTATCGCTCTCGTTGTCAGAAAAGGCCGAGTACACCGAGGAGGACTCGGAGGATGAGTAAGAGTGTCGTTTTCGAAGGAAGTCATGGTGAGCATGCGATTGTGCGCGCCTATGATGAAAACCGCGAATTTCGTTAACTTTAGCTTTCGCGCGATCTTTGCTGCCGCCTTGCGATATGGTGAGTCCTTTGGAAGGTAGGTGGAAATCTTGGAAATCTGCAACGGCGGTTCTATCTGCTTGGTCGGAGTCCAAGGGTGTGGTTGTAGTAGATAGGAAGTCCATAGGCTGGTTCGTAGACGGGCGGCTAAGCTCTCCAGGAGCTGGGAGGATTTTTCGCCAAAGCCGATCTTCAATTAGATGCTTGTGGTGATCTTGTTCCAACCAGTATGCATCGGCAATGATGTCGCAGGGATCAAAGAACCAGTCAACTCTAGGCCGTCGCACACGAGATACAGTTTTCGTGACGGCCTCGCCGGCGTTTGAGTCGTCGTTCTCATCCGGCTCATTGAAAGGAGGAATAGTAGGAGAGTCAGAGCCGCTGTTCCTTGAACCCGCCAAAGACTGCTGTTCGGATATCTTATCCACCCATTTCCTCACTCGATCGACGTCGGTAAAGCCCTGCTGCTCTCCGTCGATAACTTTCCTCTCGCGAGCCCTAACCTTTCGATTCCTCACATACTGTAAGGGATTGTACGGCCGGCTATATGCCGACACTACGCCATCACTTCCCAGCCTTGGGGATATCGGGTTCAAGAAAGGGGACTCAGGAGGAGTTGCATTATTGTAAGGTCGGCCATTCGTCAGCGGAGGCAGATGCTCCAACAAGCGCCTGTACTCTGCCATGAGCTCAAGATGCTCCTTGGCCTTCCGGGCTCTTGCGATTGTAGATGCAGAGAAATGGAACCGAAAATTGCCTTCCTGTCCATCTTCAAACCCAAACTTGTGGCTGGAGGGGATCCTGGTCGAGTGCGCTTGTGGTGGTTTGGGTGATCCAGCTCGTGTGACCTTTCGTTGCTGTTGAAAGTGCTGTCGTAGGTTGGTCTTGGAACTGGATTCCGGTAAGGGGTTTAGACGAGGGGGACTGGTTCGTGGTACGCTTTTCCGGGACGCCACTCGCCGCGACTCGCTCAGGTTGAGTGCCATGTTCACTATTTGGGTCGCATCGACATCAGGGCCTGACTGGTACTGCTCGGACGAATATCTTTTGTGGTCGCTATCGACATCCGCTCGTGGGTATCCGTCCATGTCATCTAGGGAAGCTGAAAGCCGTTCTTGTCCACGAGGCGACTCGCCACTACTCCTGGCACCGAGACGAGGAGGATTGCTCGGTTTTTGACGCTCAGGGGTCCGGGAAACTGACTTTCCTTTCTGCTGGATGAGTCTCGACCGGCGCCGCGAGCTCGGTTCCTTCTCTCCGACAGCGGCATTCTGAAGGAGGAAGCCACCACCTGAGCGAGGCTTGGCCCTCCTTCGACTCTGTGTGTCTCGTGCCGACTCATCCCCCAATTGTTTTACATCTGGGACTGCTGTAGTCCGGTCGAACGGGGTATGGTCGGCGCCTGAAGCTTGTTGATCCTGACCTGCAGGCGACATCGCAGTTCTGGTTGCTCGGGTCGCGCTGGATTCGCCTGTCCTCTGTGGCACGTTCTGGGTCGATGAGTGGTGTTGGCTGCCAGCCAGGACTCGAAGCCCTTCGTCCTGGCTGTCATCGGCCATGTCTAATACGTGGTCGGCTAGTAGCTTTCGTTTGTGCAAAGCTGCCTGCTGCGCTGCATTTTCATTGTCTGGCCTGGTTCAAGTACGGGGTATGGGTTGGATCGGGATCTAATTAAGGAGAGATGCAAGCGAAGATGGCCAAGTTGAAGAAACTAACGAGAGCGATTAACCGCAAAGGTGTGGAAGGATGCGGCCGATTGGCACACAGTCCATCCAGACTGCGCAATCGATAGAGGCAAACAGGTAATGGAGGACCAGGAGGTGGTGGGTGGGTGACCAATGGATGTCATAACTGACTGCCGAAGCACTGACTGACATGTGCTCCCGCCTACGTAAGTGCGCCAGGTGTGGCGCCCTGGCTGTGGCTGAGTCATTCCACGTCGCATCCCAATTTCGCGAGCGCCAGTTAGGAGGCAGATACATGATCTCGTCGTTGTGTTTATTGTCATGATAATCTAGATGATACAGGATTGAGAGATATTCTACATAGAGGCTGAGCTTCTGTTATAGTACATATATATACAAAGTTATCATGGGAGTCCGGCAACGACATGGTCGCATCTCGTACACAGACCATCCTCCTCTTCGGCGAGATACCTCCAACACCTTGAGCATTTGCTTTCTGTGGGAGGTACGACATGTACACTCCCGCTCCAGCCGTCTTGTTCAAAGGCATGTTGATATATCCATACTGGATCTTGAGGAAGAAGTGCGTTGATCTCAACTGATGAGACGTTGAAGATGGAGTCGAGCTCGTCGCGGTAGCGCTCCAAGCATGACTTTACTTGTTCGCTGGTCGTTTGGACTATCACTTGGCACTGTAGGGAACTCCCGATATTCTTGGACTCTCTGGCCTGCTCAAGGGCATACTTGACGGAGTCGCGGATCGGTGCTATGATGCTCCAATCGCTGCGAAGGGTATTCTCGTCGAGTTTGATCCGGGAGGGGTCAATCAAGGGGCTGTTGAAATTTTGGCGGGCTGGGTGTTCCAAAGAGCTAAATCACAAGGTGTCAGAGTCGTAAAAATAGCATAGCATAGGTTAATGCATGAACAATGCTTACCTGTCATCAGCCATCCACTGGGGGCGATGAGCCCAGGACTCTTCCACTAGGAGCGGCGTAACAGGAGCAAGCATCCGAAGCAAGCCAATAAAAATCGGCTCAATAATGCCGCCGCCGTCACCACAATACAGTCTGTCCTTTAGAGACTCAAGATAGAAGGCAGACAGCTCGGTGGAAATCCAATGATTGATAATCTGAGTTCCACGGTGAAACTCGTATTGGTCAAACGCAGATAAAACGCGGGACATTGTATCAGTCAGCTGCATGAAGGCAATGTGATCGAGCTTGGATAGTGGCGCTTGACGACTTGATTTGTGTAATGATCCAGTAAGCATCTTGAGAATACTGCGGTACTTGAGAAGGGTTGTGTGGACAGGCTTGAGCACAGATGAGCCAATAGCCATGTCTGTTGTATAATCGCTGGTGGCCGCAAGTACACGAAGAGCGTCGGGGCCCAGGGCATCCGGCCGTGGCTCAGACTTGCCTTTGCCCTTGATAGGAGGTAGGAGACTGCCATTCATGACTTCCTCAGGGGAGATGGTGTTGCCTAGGGACTTTGACATCTTTTTACCATTATCGTCAAGCGTAAAACCGTGCGTAATGAGAGTTTTAAAGGGAGCTCTGATGCCCCCCACAGCAGCATCCTGCCACAAGCCAGATGAGGACGAGCCTGGAGTTGTTTGTGGATTTCTTGTCGCGATGTAGGTTAGGAGACTCGACTGAAACCACCCTCGGTGTTGGTCGCTGCCCTCAAGGTATACGTCGGCTTGTTGGGGAGTTTCGGTCCAACTACTGCCACTGTCAAACCAAACATCCATCGTATCAGTCCCGCGACGAAAGGTGCCTTGCAATGAGGGCGCGACCCATGCTGGGTCATCTGGCACATCTGAGAACCAGGCCTGAGACCCTCGCTGTCGCATGGTGGAAAGGATATGGTCAATCGACTCGACTGTCATAACAGAGTTACCCTCGGAATCGTACAGGGCAGGTATAGGAACACCCCATGCTCTTTGGCGTGATATGCACCACTCGCTACGGCCCTTAACGAAATTCTCGAGTCTATTACGCCCGGTTTGAGGGATGAAGTGAACCGATTTAAGGGCTTCTAGCGCATCATCCTTGATACTGCCCACGTCTGCGAACCATTGGCTTGTTGCTCGTGTGACTACAGGTTGTTTTGTCCGCCAATCATAAGGGTACTTGTGGGCGATAAAATGAGTAGCCAGTACATCCTCAGCTAGAATATCCAAAACCGCGCGACTGCCCCCGTCAAGAATGCTGGGTGCTGATACTAGCCTTTCAGGGTCTTCGGGAAAGGCCTCTTTAGTGAAGTGACCCTCGTCGGTGATTGGTGCGAATGCTTCTATGCCTAGTTTCGAGCAAGCATCATAGTCTTCTTGTCCGTGGCCAGGAGCGACGTGTACGAGTCCCGTTCCGGAATCAGCAGTGACAAAGTCCCCGTGAATGATGGGCTGTGGTGCTCCCGATGGCCCCTGGAGCCTGTTACGGTACTCCAAGCCTCTAAGCTGAGATCCTAGAATGCCCTGCGCAAGAACAGTTGTGCCGGGGATGCGGCTTTGGATTTGTTCAATGAGGTTTTCAGCCACAATAAGCCCATATCCATCGGCCTGAACAATAGCATATGCAAGGTCCTCGTGAACCGCAATTGCCTTATTAGCAGGGAGTGTCCATGGAGTAGTGGTCCAAATCGCTGCATGAAGGGGTCCTTGAAGTTGTGCAGTTCCAGGAAGATGTGTCCAGTCTGATACGATGGGATATTTGACGTATGCGCAAGTAGACTTGTGGTCATCCTTGTACTCCAATTCGGCTTCTGCCAATGCGGTACGGCTCGATATTGACCAGTAGATTGGTTTGCGTTTGCGGTAGATGAGACCGCGACGGACGAGTTCCTGGAATACTTGCAGTTGTCGTATCTCATAATCCGGATCCATGGTTGTCCATTTGTTCTCCCAGTCGGCTAGAACTGCGAACGACCGGAACCCTTTCATCTGTTCCGTAACCGTCTTGGATGCTAGGCGCTTTGCCTGGTCTCGGATCTTGACTGGGTTCATTCCCTTTCCATTGCTCGACCCGAGCGCTTTCATTTCAATTGGGAGTCCGTGACAATCCCATCCTGGGCGGTATATGATGCGCCGGCCCTGCTGTAATCTGGTTCTGACGATCATATCCTTCACGATTTTGTTAATCGCATGGCCGATGTGCAATGGGCCATTGGCGTAAGGAGGCCCATCGTGAAGGACGAAAGGGTCATCGGCTGGCCGATTCGCCGCCTGCCAAGCGTATAGATCATCTGTGCATTGTCGCAAGTACTGAGCTTGAAGCTTTGGGTTCGGTCGTGCACTAGAATCCAATCCTGTCAATTGAAGCTCACTTGAAAACTAGCGCAACGCATGAAACGTACGGAAACTTAGACACTGGGAGCTTCAATGTTGCCTTCCAAGACTTGGACATCTTGGAGCAACATCTGGCAGTGCCTGTGTTGATCGCAACCAGCCGACCTTTAAAGCTCGTGGGGGAAGATTTCGCTTGCAGATTGGCGGTCTCTTCAAAATCTCCAGCCTCGTGTGGCTGAAGCAGTGGTGGGGCCTATTGGACCCTTGATTACATCACATCACATATTAACGACATCGTGGACCGGCTGCTTCACGATCTTACAACTTCTCTTTTCGACTATGTGAAATGGCACCCGTCCGTCGGTATCTTCGAATAACAAAGTACACTGTTCTAGAATGTCGAATATACCTTGACAATCCATCTCTGGTGCAGTCTTGGCTCCTGAACCCTCGCGATCCCGTCCTCCCTCGAGTTATCGAGAGCGTCCGACCATGGGTATTACCCAAGCTGCGTGAAGAGAGAGAACGAAGCAAGAAGAAATCCACAAAGAAGAAGGCAATAAAGGATTTCGTAGTCGGAGGTATATGCGCATACGGAATTTCTCAAGCTATGCGGTCATTGAGCTAATTCAATGCTTCAGATGGGTTTGAGGTGTCGTTATTCCTGACCGAAACCAACACGCGACACTCCATCCTGAAGAAACACAAGCATTTCCACGACCGAAATGCGCCGAAGCTACAGTCCAATGCAAACAAGCTGATTGGGGAGACAAATGACAATCCTGTTGATCTCAATTTGGATGAGGAGTTCCGACCAATTCTTCAGGAAGATGACGATGAAAGTGCGGTCAACCTTGACAGTATCCCCCTGCCTCCGAGATCCAGTAGGACACGCTCGAAGCGACAAAGAAACGTCACAGATGGCGACGACGATCAGCTTGAACCCCTAGAAGTGGAGGAACCCATCTCGGTGATCGACAGCGATTCTGATACAGATCAACCCCCCCAAAAGCGCCACAGAGGGGTGGAACGGGGCAAGGAAGCTGCAACCGAGGATGACGATAAGAAAAAAATGGCCATGGATGTTACGTATGAAGGCTTTGCAATCTACGGCCGCGTCCTCTGTCTCGTGGTACGCAAGGTCAATCGCGCAGGCGAGACAGGGAGTAAGAAGTCCGGACGGGGCAATTCCAACCAAGCGAGCATGGAAAACTGGATCTCATCCACTCAATTGCCCGTTGGCGAGGATGGTCTTTGAGCTTTCCCTGATTATGGATATCGGGAAACCAAAACTCGAGGAGGAACCTATGCTCCGTGCTGGACTGGGCTTGCAGGGTTAGACCTAACCTGAGACCCAAACGGTGTAATTTGACACTTGGGAGGGCTGGTATTGAATTTTACTGTCACGGGCACAATCGCGCAGATGAAACGGTAAGGAGACTGTACGAGAACTTGAACCCTGATCTCGATTGCATGATCGACGGCCGTAAGGACCCTGGGCAACCGGACTGATTGCCCAAGTCGTGCATCTCATGTGATGGTATTTTCATGGCACGCGATTAGCATCCACTAAGAAACCCCTGTCCGTGATGCTCGGACGAGAGCCATAGTTAGCCAGTACTGAATCGGAGGCACCAAGGGCGAACAACGTCCGTGGGTACGGGGTGGTCTATCTTCGCTGGCAAACTGGCGGTCATGCAATTGACTAGAGTAGGTAGATACCAGTTGAATTTAGCCGTGCCGTCCTTGGATGCGCGCACATCTCTCCGGCCAGGGTGTACGAAAAGGCAGTTTTCGGCCCCATGAGCTAATAACTAAAAGTCTTGAACGGCCGTACATGCGGCCTGCGTGATTTCAACCAGCACCACCTCCATGTAGGACTGTCGTGCCTCTGGCCCGAAGCGGCTTCCCGCAGCTGGGATCTTCTAGTGATAAGACGCATAGCTGGAGCAGGACGGCTGGGCATTGACTCATTGCACATCAGTAGGCCGTAGTGTCGCGCTACATCTGCATTTGCATCTGCAGCCTGTTCCATTGGGAAACCCCAAGAGGTTACGTCACATGCATGATCATCAGCGTTCGGTTGCTTCTAGGCGAGACGCCGTGGTGGGAGCGTGCGCCGAACGAGCAGTCTACATACACCCTGGGGAAGGGCACCCGCTAGGGAACTGCCAACCTGAATGTAAAAATGGAATGCGTGCTTCAAGCATCGTGACCTTGGCAGAAGAGGCGGCGCAGCGACCGCCACAGTTTTCAGCCCGCCACCCTGCCTCCGCCTGAGGATGTGCACTGCGGCAATCATCAGACACAGGACAAGGCTCCGTGGTAGTGGTACAGTGGCTTGTTCGGCTCGTATATCTTGAGATTGCTGACACACCCTTTTGCATCGCTTCGCCTGGGCCACGTCAAGGCACATGCAATACCCCTCGCGGATGAAACCACCCACGGTGCTTGCTCTCAGGGCTGAAGATTCGCTTGGGTTGTGATCTGCTCCCTCCAAAATTACAAATGGCTCATCTGACCAACATGCTGCAGGCTCCCCTCACGTACCTTGCCCTCTTTGAGCACACACACCCATCGAGGCTTGGAACGGGGTGGCGTAGGACAAGACGGCCCTTGTCCTTCCCACGTGGGATCAACCGATTGTGCGTGGCTCGCAACCATTCTGGTTTCTCCGCCGGCTCCGGGGGTTTCATATCACACACACACACACACACACACACACACATACACACATAAACACATACAGCTAGTTTGGGTGGGCTGCCTGGGCGGAGCGAGCCTCGTCAACCCGTCAACCCGATGCTTCCGGACGTATCGGTACAAGAATACGGCTTATCGTCCAGCAGCGCCTCTATTTCGTGCTTGCTTGACAATATGACAGACTGTGCCCCGCCCCGTTGCAACACGTAGGCATTGATCGAGCCAAGGATGGTTGCACAAGGGGTGGTCTTGGATTGGGAGCCAGAGAACGCCGGAGAGCGACGTCATTGGCTCCCGTGGATGTTTCGCAGCCCTGCGCTACCACTCACAGCTAATTGCTCGCTCGTTGATACGTGCCCATTCACATCGCTGATATGATCACCGGCCCGCTGCCACAGCAGCCTATGACATCTGCGGGCCGTTAACATATTAATAATGGTTGATACCAATCGCGATGATGAAGGTCGAAAAAGCAAAACAGTTGCCCTAGCCAGCTTGGCAACCTGCTCACTTGGCTGGGGTTGTTGGTCAGAACTAAGGTCGATGCTGCGCGGGGGGGGTGTATGCGTAGCCAATTATACATATTCGATCCATTACGACAAGGAAAACATAAGTGCCCAACCCGTGAATCACATTGTGTCCTGCAGCTCCCGGTACAGAAGGAGGCGCATCTTTAGCACGCTAAAACCTGAGAGACGGTCCCGTCATGACGATGTAAGCGGAGTAAATTCAAGACGGACAATGGCTTCCGCTCCCCAGACCGTTGTGCATGGATGCTGGTATGTATTGCCAGATTGTGCCCGTTGTGAAGGGCCAACAGGGATGCTCACCGATTGCTGGGTTTACAGTGCCCAGAGGTTGGTCTCACCTCATGATGACCGACCCGGCACAGTGGCACTAAGGGCAGGACCTTGAACTCTCGCCCTTGAGATTTGGAGAACGATTTCCAGAAGCAGGTAGGTACCAGAAGCTGGGGTGGCAGAGGGAGGGGAGAGACAGGGAATGCATTGGCGGGATGGTCAAATGATCAATCGCGGGGCCTTGTCAGGGCTGACCACCAACGCCCGTTGACGCTGATGAGGGTGTGGCTCGGAATAGAATGGCACGCAAGGGTTGGGAAATATAGACTTTTGCTCCGTCGCGAAGCTTTCCACACATTCAGTAGACGCAGACCGAACCCCCGGCGACATGCTGGCCAGCTCGATCACGAGGTCAGGAAACTAGGAGCAGGCAGGCCGCATAAAACCAAATCCATAGAATGTAACTGGATTTCTCGGGAACTGACCCAGTTTCGCCCAACCGGCCGAACCCACAATGAGGCACACTCACATACTTAGCGTGTGGGGAGTTGCAGTTCGTAGAGTGCTACGCTGTTGATGCAGAGATGCTTACGCCAAAGCGGTTTCGGCTCTTCGCTGTCTGCATTTCGGAGGGGAAAGACACCATGACAAACTTTCCCGGCTGAGTGGTAAGCCAACGGGCCGGTCATGTCCAAGCTCCAATGTTGTATTCGCACGCACCAGCCCATGCAACTATTGGGGTCTGGACAGTGTTCTTTTGTCAGCCACCACATGTGGTGGCTTGCATATGCCGGGTCTGTTCAGCTTTCCAGGCCCCAAAGCGCTGTTGCCCAGCCGCAACCAACAGATTCGGAAGCGCAGTGTGTGAAACATGCAGGAACCATTGCGGTAGGTAGGGAAGCACTGCCATTTGGCCGTTGTACCTCCAGGTGGTGCTGCAGCAGCAGCAGCCCAGCAAATGAAGCATGGGATCCGCCCAGTGTCGCGCAGCGGGAGGAGAAGGCCACGCATGCTTCTAGAACATTTTTCTTCCTTTTCACCGTCTTCTTCCAAGGACCGTGTAAAGGGGTTGGCCCCTTGTGGGTTTTCCCCAGCCCCTAACTTGAGATTCGCCTCACCGACCGGTGTGTTGATGAGATACGCATCCACAGGGCTAATGGAAGAAGCAAGGCGAAAAAAAAAAAAAGAAATGAGGTTCAGCCTTGTTTCTCCCTGTACCCTACCGAGGTCACCCACGCATTGCTAAATTGGTCCAGCCCCCCGATGCATACGTCGCACAACGTATCCGTATTCCCAACAGTTCCCCCTGACGGTAGGGATGGCTCTAAATTCAGGGTCCAGGGGGTGGCGAAAAAAAAAATAAAAAATACCAATGGTGTCAGAAAAAACGACCCAGAGAAAAGAACATGGTGGGTTTGCCTTTCCAAGAGCTGAAACAGGCAACCCCGGCGCAGATTTGCGGGGTTGCGAGTTGGTTGTGAGTCACGCTGACCAAAAATTTCGGTGATTTTGAGTGTATGTCACCATGATGGCAGGCAAAAGTCATAAGAGACGGAAAAAAAAATTACAGTGACCGCCTATGGCGGTCAGTGTACAGCGGCCGCCTGACAGCGAC